TATTTACATGGGCAAGTGAAGAAATTACTAATAATCAGTCTACTGATTTACTGACTATTTGGACAGGCAATTGCAGTGGACAAAACAGAAATATGAATATGATTTTTATGTATTTGTGGCTCTTGGACAAAGTTCCTACTGTATATACTGTCAACCACAAGTTCTTATTGTCCGGACACACCCACATGGCGGTTGATGGAAAACACAGCATAATAGAGAGAGCTAAAAAACAAATAAAAACTAACACCATTTTCACTACAAATGATTCGGCAAATTTGATTGCTACATGCTCAAAAAATCCACTTGTTGTCAGACAGATGTGCATTAAAGACTTCTTTGATTTTCTCTTCTTCAGGAGCAAATATGTCCCATTTATATTAAGGAAGAAGAACACAAACAACGAACTATTTCTAATATCGAATGCAGTGTGGTTACAGCTTCGAAAACGGGACAGTAAGCTATACTACAAACCAGTTTTGAGGAAGATTCATTCAAAAGTGTTGAACTGAAAAGAAATCGGAGGCAAGAAAGGATTAATATGCCATTAGCAATTCCACAAATACGGGCACACGAGAAGAAAATAAGCAATGAAAAGTACAACGACCTCATGAACCTGATGTAATGGATCCCTGAAGAATACAAATCTTTGTTTGAAAACCTTTCACATCGTGAACACGAAAGCAACTTTTGCGAGGATGACTCGACTGCTCTTGAATAATTTTTTTTCTCCTTACCTCTTTGACAATAATGTTCAAAATTAATTGGAAAACATTGACTAAATGCTAGTTTTTCATCTATGTTTGTTTATAATAATTACATGTTTTTAATAGTAGCACATGGAATTTATTTCTAAACACCTTTTCCTAGATAAGTAAATCTTATGAGAGATTTTTGCAGAGACAATAACATAAGTCCACATTTTACAAATGGGATATATTAAGTAAAAAAAAATCAAACAATAAATAAAGGATACTTATTTGTTAATAATACAAACAATAGTTTGAAGATAAATTAAAGTGACAGCTTTGTAATTAAGCAATTAGGTAACTTTTTTAGTTTTTGCTCTCTACTGAAAGGTTGGCTAAACGTGCCTTACGTTTGTCTGGTTCTGAGGTACAGAAATACCAATTCAGTGTGCGCCTCTCGAGTCTCGGGATATTCCTGCCCATAACATCACCGAACCCCTTCCATGGCTAACGCGGGGACTGAAAACGCATTCCGCAAATCTCTCTCTAGTTCGACGCTATACTCATATATCTCTACTTATATCTCTACTTATATATATATTTAATCTATGGCTATACTCGTTCTCTCCCATCTGACGAGTGAAGACAGTATCTCGAAAGTAATTTGGGCCCAGTTGCTGGTCTGCAACTTTATAAACCAAATTCATGTAATCTTCGACGAACTGTAAATACACTTACATTATTGCCTCGAACCTTTTGTAGCTGATTTCTTGTTAGATGACGATCCCGCGAAGTGTTGACTCGTATACACCGATCATCTAAAGCCATGAAAGTATCATGATCTAAAGCGGTAGTTTGCGCTTCCTGCCACTTCCAGCTTCACGCTTGTTTCTTCCAGTTCGTATAAAATGTTCCACTACCCTTTGGATGGTAGAGCGATGAGTGTGTAGTAGTCTAGCCACATATTCATAATTTCGCCCATCTTCAACCAGAGCAACGGCTTTCGCACAATCTAAGACACTAAAAACCATGATAATAGGTAAACAACATTATACTATGAACTAAAAATAAACCCACGCGCACGCGATCAGTCGTGTGACGTCACTTGGCGACAAATGTCACCAGAAATATTCTGTGTTGTATGGAGTTTTGTCAGATTTAGTATTGTTTTATCGTTTATCTTGTACGTTGACATCGGTTTACTGGGTAAACCATCGTTCCGAAGGAGGTTTACTTAAACCATATCCAGATTTTCTAATTAAATGTAATGAACTGGACCATATTTTAACAATTTTAAGAAAGGGTCATTAAAATTAACCAAGAATTATTTAAAATCGCTAATGGATTTAGCTGTGTTCAGATGTAATGTTAGTAAACGTAAGTTCAGATGTCAAACATCTTTTTTTAGGTGTAAATATATTTTATAATTAGAAAATTGTATAGATATATTAAAGAAACATCCAAAGTTAAGAAGAAGAAAATATTAAAAATTGTAAAATAAATTGTTAAATAAACGTGTAAATTATTACAGTGTACTTTATTATTATTAGTTGTATTAAATTTTTATTTTAATAAAACCAATCCATTGTATATAAATTTCCATTTCCAAAAGGATGTTTAGTTCCTACTTTTTTATATAATTTATATATTGCTAGGCTAACAGAGATGTATATATAACATATTTTTAAGTTTTAATTGCAGTTATTTTACCTAACATCCCTAAATATTCTAAACATTTTATAAAAACCCTCTCTTTCCATATATGTTTTACCGACTGTGATGATAACAGGTTGGTGATAAAAGCGGAACTTTTATCACCAAGTGACGTCATGCGCGTCGACGTACAAAATTTGATTGCGAAGTGGGTTTATCTTGGAAGTCTTAGTATCATGGGTAAACAAAATGTAAGTGTCAATATGACATAATGATAACAGTCACCAAAGTCACCTCGTCGTATTACAAAATAACTCCAAAATAATCATTAAAAAAGTCCCAAATTGTGGGTGGTAAATTCATTTGGCTCTAAAAAAGGATCCAAGGCATATTTTGACATGAAACAAAAAACACAATGCTTAGGAGACATGGTTGCAACCGAAAAATAAGGTTTGAGGAAAATTTGCAAAAGGAATTATTCCATAGAATGTTTCGATAGTAAGTTACGATAATAAAACCACGTTTTAATTAACCCCGTACAATAAGTCAAATATACAATTTTATCAAAAAAACTGACTATACCAAATTAAAATATATAAATTTATACACAGTATGCTAAAAAAATCATCAACATAGGACTAAAAATAAAACAATTGAAATACATACTTTGAATTTGACCAAAATTTTCTCCGTTGCGTTTTTTTTTGCATCACTATATTATCCATTTTATCCCCATACACAAAAAAGAAAAAATGAAAAATAAAAGGAAAAAAGGAAACGTTCTTGAATGTTCCAACTTTAAAGAGATTTCCTTTCTTAATACAGCATACAAAATTGTGTCCCTGATACTTAACGAACGCCTGGCACGGTATACTGACAATATAATAGGATCCTACCAAAGAGGCTTCTTGAAAAACAAATCTACCATTGATCACACATCATCCATCAGACAAATATTATAAAAACGACGGAGTACGACATAGACTGCCAATACATCTTCGTAGACTTTAAGGCAGCGTACGATACTATTGACAGACCCCAATTATATTCGGTGATGATCGAATTAGGAATACCAAAAGGTTTGGTAGAATTAATTAAAATGACATTGATGAAAGTCGAATGTAAAGTGCGCGTACAATGGGATGTTTCAAAACCATTTAAAACCAACAGAGGACTGCACCAGGGAGATGCGCTATCGTGCACGCTATTCAACCTAGCGTTAGAAAAAGTTATGAGAGATTCGGGAATAAACTTAAAAGGTACGATATATACCCGTAGTATACAAATAATGGCATACGCTGATGATATCGTCATAATTGGAAGAACCTAAAATGAAGCAGTGGAGGCTTTCACACGTATCAAAAATGCCGCAGAAAACATCGGACTTCTGATTAACATCCAGAAAACTAAATATATGCCGGCCATATCAAGAATTCAACAAAATAATTTAGAGGTGCAACACGAAACGATAGAAATGGTAGAAGAATTCTGCTACTTAGGATCACTGATAGACTACAAAAATAACACATCCAACGAGATTAAAAAAAAAAGAATATGCGTGGCTAACCGCTGTTATTTTGGCCTGGGCCCTCAACTAAGAGCGAGAAGTATGTCAATAGCAACAAAGTGCAAACTTTATAAAACAATAATACGCCCAGTGCTCACATACGAATCTACTACGAGTCTTTGAAAGAAAAGTATTGAGGACCATATATGGCAGAGTAAACGAACAGGGTCTGTGGAGAAGGCGATATAACTTTGAACTCTATAGACTTTTAGGTGATGCAGATATTGTGAAGACCATCAAAATAAACCGCCTAAGGTGGGTGGGCCACGTTATGCGGATGGATGAGAGTGATCCCACTAAAATAACTATGCTAAACAGGCCGGTCGGAAGAAGAAGAAGGGGGCGACCTAAACTCAGATATCTGGACGATGTACAGGAAGATCTGAGGTAGATTGAAGTGAGGGACTGGAGAAGACAGACACTCGATAGGGAAGGATGGAAGAATGTTTTGAAGCAGGCCAAGGCTCACGAAGGGCTGTAGCGCCAACTGACGATATTTTTATCGGAAATAAGACACCACTTCGAAAATCATTCTCAAAATACAAAAGATACATAAACAAATTTTGTTTTTTGTTTAATTAATTTTTTCAACACAAAACAACATTTAAACATTTAATAATCAAAACGCAACCTTCTTCGTAAAACAACATTTGTTTAATAAATTTATGTTTATGTTTAATTTTGATAGTTTTGGTTTATGCCTAGTATTTCATTTTCCCGCTACCATCCAAATATGGAAGTAAATTTCCTTATCTGTCATCTGGAACGATCTCGATGGAGGAGTAGAAGCCCGACACGAGAAAAAACATATTAAGAAAAACTATAAAAATGTTACAGTTTAATATATAATTATATAAATGTATTACAATTTTGGCCATCCTCGAAGTAAATCTCTAAGACGAACCTGATAAAATATCTCGTCTTTATTTATTAAATATATGTGTACGATGTGTACAGTCAAACACTTCCTATGGCAACGAAAGTAAATAAGTGAAAAACTATACCATTATCTGTTCATACGTGAATATTATGATCGATTTTTCAAACATCACCTATTAATTTCATGTAACAGAAAAACTTTATTAAGTAACAAAATGTTGTTTGAAGCATACTTGTTTGTAATTTTAAATGTTTTTCTTTTTAAACAGTGCAACTCCCAAACGACGCAAAATCTAAACATTCGTAAGTATTAATTTACTTGGAAAAGGAAAATATGTTTAATTATGCAAATCTAGGTCAAAGTTAAACTTGTATCTGTGGAATTGTTCACTTTACTTTTCTATAGGCAAAAACTACACCAAATCAATAAAATTAATTATTCGTAACGTTCATCATGATTATTAGAGACCGCAATATACGCAAAATGCATTTATTTACATTTCTGGCATTTTTTGCATATCTGGCATTTTTTGCATACATTTCTCTGCATATTTTTATAAAAAAATATTTTCTGCCATATATAAATTACTATAATGCCAATATTTTCTGAACGCGTCGGCATTTTCTCTAAATTGTTCGTTCAAATTCCCCGAGTAATAAAACCCTCTTTGAATTATTTTGGCCATACTTGCTTTTGTAATAAAAGGTATTAGGTAAACTGGTAAACAATTAACATTCTTAATATACAAACAAATTGAAACATACATATACTTCATCTAATTTACTTACCATTGCACGTCATTATCATTGACAGAGATCGAAATTGACATAGTTGCCAAAGTATAAAAAAATTCTGACTCCATTTTAAATCAAATAGGTCACATAATTATTGCAAAAGTATTATTATCTCTTTACAATGACTATTTAAATCCTTACGTGACATTTTTGAAATAAACCACACTAATTTTGTTCTAAAAAGAACAGATTTTATTAAATAGGTAAAAATATAACACAAGAGGTATTCACTTTAAAATTCAAAATAAATAAAGTACAAAAAGTGTCAACACCGCAACTGTCAAATAAGTGTTACCAATTTATGCCAAAATATCACCTTCGTTCGATTACAGTTACAGTGTGTTCCGAACAAATGTTCTTCATAAAAACGCTTTATAATGCATTTATACAAATTAAATGAAACTTATTATTATGTATTTCTTTAAGTTAACATTAATAGAAATCTTTAAATATTATTTCTACGCGTATATAATAAAATATGTCTAGTGGCTGTAATGCCAGTGTATTCGGTAAAGTGATTCTAAAAAAGAACAACCTAAATATTTCGTGTTGGTATCATGTGACCTCACGGACTATGACGCGGATGACGTGCAACGGTAAGTAAATTAGATAAAGTATAAACACTTTTAGTGGGACTGGTTTTTCCGAAATCCAGGGGCGGAAGTGTCGGTGAAGCTTTTAGGAATAAGTAGCTGTATGAATCTCCCAAATTTACACTAGTTTCGGTTATGGTTATGGTTTTCCCATCAAACAGTGTAAACTTATGTATCAAGGCAAATTTATGTCTTTGCAGCCGCAAGCCATTGTCAACGCATGTTTTGATAACATCAAGGTGCTTGGCTTTTTGTTGCACATTTCTTCTGATAGAAAATTTTCATCATCCAGTATGCAAAGATACCGTTTCCCCTGAAAAAGTGTAAAAAATCTCTTAAAGGACCCTACTAAAAAGGGCAATTGATGAAGGTGCAGTTCTTAGACACTTAAAATACAGAGTAGCAACTTTTTAGCCAATATCTTTGCGATGTCTTCTTATCTTCTTCTTCTTCTTCTTTAAGTTCCATCTTCTATCGAAGGTTGGAAATCCTCATGGCTATGCGGACTCTGTTGACTGCCGCTCTAAAAAGTTCTGCCCTACTGCATTCAAACTATTCCCTTAAGTTCTTAAGCCAGGATATTCTTCGTCTTCCCACATTTCGCTTTCCTCGGATTTTGCCCTGCATAATAAGTTGTAATAATGCGTATTTTTGCCCTCTCATCACATGTCCCAAGTACTCAAGTTTTCGTCTTTTAATAGTTAATATTATTTCCGCCTCATTTCCTATCCTTCTAGTTACTTCCATGTTTGACATTCTTTGAATCCATGATATTCGTAGGATTCTTCTGTAACACCAAAATTCAAAGGCGGCCAACTTATTCAGATGAACTTGTTTTAGTGTCCAAGCTTCCAGACCATAAAGAAGAGTAGAGAACACGTAACATCGAAGCATTCTCAGGCGTAGTTCTAACCTTATATCCCGACAACAAAGAAACTTTTTAAGTTTAATAAATGATGTACGTGCTATTTCAATACGTGTCTTAATTTCTTTGGTTTGGTCTACATCTGATGTTATCCATGTTCCTAAGTATTTATAGTTATTAACACTCTCAATTGCAGTATCTTCAATAGTCAATTGGATATTTGCATGTGCAGATTTAGTCATGATCATGCATTTAGTTTTCTTTAAATTTATCTTCAGTCCGTACTCATGACAGCGTTCATTAAGGCGTTGCATTACGTTCTGTAAATCATTGTTGTTATCCGTAATTATTACTGTATCGTCTGCAAAACGTAAGTTATTCAATACTTCTCCATTGATAGATATACCTTCTATTGAGTCTGAGAGCGCTTCTTGAAATACCGCTTCACTGTAGACATTGAAAAGTAGTGGGGACAGCACGCAACCCTGGCGGACTCCTCTCTGTATTTTGATATTTTCGGTGTACTGGCTGTCAACTCTTACCTTGGCAGTTTGATTCCAATATAAATTAGATATAATTTTCAGATCACGACTGTCAATATTTTTGCTTTTTAATATATCTACAAGCTTTTTATGTTGAACTTTATCAAATGCCTTTTCAAAGTCTACAAAACATAAGTACATATCCTGATTCATGTCCATGCATCTCTGAGCCAGCACATTCAAGCCGAACAAAGCATCTCTTGTACTCATACCATTTCTAAAGCCAAATTGTGTGTCACTAATCTCATATTCAAGAGTTTTAACAATTCTGCTGTGAATTATTTTCAAAAATGTTTTAAGTGTGTGACTCATTAAAGCTATTGTTCTGTGGTCTGAGCAAGTTGTTGAACTTGGTTTTTTGGGAATTGCTACAAAGGTTGATTGCAGCCATTGTCTGGGGATTGTGGCAGTCTGATATATTAGATTAAAGAGTTCAACCATTACATCAATAACATCTTCATCGATGAGTTTTAATAATTCGATGGGCACCTTCATCTGGTCCAGTAGCTTTACCCTCTTTTGTGTTTTTGATGGCATAGATGACTTCTTCTCTTAATATTGGTGGTCCAGTATCCTCGGTGATTTCTAATGACAGTTCTTCTCTTTCATCATTAAATAGTTGTTGAATGTAATTGGTCAGTGACATAATCTCTCCTTCATATCAGTAATAATATCCCCTTTATCATTTTTAAGGATATTCGTTTTTGTACGCTTTCTAGAACCTGTCATTTCTTTGATTTTTTTGTGTAAATTAAAGCTATCGTACTTTTTATCCAGATCTTCTATTTCCTTGCATCTATCGGAGAGCCACCTCTCTTTTGCCTCTCGAATTTTCTTTCTGATGTTTCTCTGAATTTCTTTGTATTTATTCAGGTCTTTTGCTTTATGTTTTCTTCGTTCTTCCATGAGTTCAAGAATTTCTACTGTCATCCAAGGTTTTGTTTTTTCTTTAAGTGGTTTGAGGGTTTCTTTTCCAACTGACACAAGGGCATGTTGAATTTTTCCCCATTTTTGGTCAATAGTTAGAGTTTCTGCATTATCTTCTTTGACTTTCCTTAAGCTCTCGTTTATTTTAAATTTGGTTTCCACATATGTGTTGTCTTGTTTGAGACGTCTTGTATCTATGATTTTCTTGGTGCTAGGGCTGTTGATCTTTTTTAGTTTCACTTCATCGACAAAACAACCGGGTTGTGGTGGAGGATATGTCCGCTCCTGGATAAGTTTTAGATGATATTATAGAATTTCTATATCTTCTGTTGACGATAATATAATCTATTTGATTTCTGACCTATTTTGTTGTTATTGTCAGCTGGTGACCTCCATGTATATAGTCTACGTTTAGGAAGTTTGAACAAGGTATTTGTAATTATGAGTTCCTCATTGACACAGAAATCGACAAGCCTATCGCCACTTCATTCCTTTCCCGAGTCCATATCGCCCCACGCAATTCTCCACTTCTCCTTGGCCAACTTTAGCGTTCAAATCGCCCATTATAATATTTATATCTTGTCTTTTAGTTAGTCTTAAGACATTGTCGATTTGTTCATAGAACGCCTCTATGGTGTCTTCATCCTTGTCTGCAGTGGGTGCATATACTTGGATTATATTTATTTTACGTTTTAAATGAGAGTTTAGAGATAGCATTAATACTCGATCAGAGTAGGGAACAAAGTTACAGACAGCTTTATGAGAATTTTTATCAACTATAATGCCAACTCCCCGTTTGTGCTTGGAATCGTTGTTTCCAGAATAATACATCGTTCCATTGCTGGTCTTACATTTTCCTGATTCAGGCCATTGTATATCGCTAAGGCCCAGTATATAATTTTCATTCTGCACATTTCCGACACATGCATTATCAGTTTGCTGATTGGTATAAACTTCTTACGTTCCATGTTCCGATTTTCAAGGCTATAGATTTATTTGCTTGACAGGGATTTACCTTGTTGACGACCTGAGAGGCCCTGTCGTCTAAATCTGATTGTCCTCCCCTGCCGGATCTTGGATTCCGAGCTCCATGATCATTAAGTAAATTATCTATTAGTGGGTCCATGATGATTTTTTCTTATCTTCGGAAATTCCAATTTCAAAAGCAAACAATGTCACTTTTACCTCATTTTTGCAGAAATATTGTAAATTTAACATTCCCGATGAAAGTACCTTAAGAAAAAAATTATATCGAGATTTGCTTGAAACCATAAGAAAAATTCGAAAAATTGTTGCCTATAACCGATTTTATAGTTCACGAAAGTACTGATTCACGGGGGTGCTATATGGCGCATTTAATGATACGGGTTTTACACGAAGATATTATCTTATTGCTTTGAAGCAACTGGAGAAAATTAACAATTTGACTAAACTCAGATCTAAAGATATTCTGTAACAATTTAATTCATGTAATATGTCTAGCTGATGGGCATTATCCATGTCACGGAAAAAATAAGATGAAATTTTACACATGTTATTAATTTGATAAATAATGTCAAAAAAGTTTTTACAAAATCTCCATTACGAGTCTAATTTTATAAAGAACGCCTGGGTAATGTTACATTACTCCATTTACTTGTTGGAAGTAGTTGAAGATGGGAAACTTGGTTACAGCAGAATTTTTTTATGCGGAGTAGTTTCGAGGAATAAAAAGTTTTATTACAGAACTAGCAGATTCCACTTAAGCAGCTCTGGAGGAATGTAAACGCCTTATTCAATTACCTAATTTATCTGAGAACCTAGCATGCATAAGCTTAAATTTTAAATTTCTTTTAAATGTTAAGGACATAAAAAAAATTATTTAAAAATCGTATATAAAAGGCATATAATTAAAACACCCAATCGGGATACATCACAAAACGTTTTTGGAATCTATATTCCATCATCAATGTGTCTAAGTGTACATATTTTGGCCACTAAATATTTGGGTAAAACCCGTTAAATGTTTTTAATTTGAATTTAAGTTACATTATTGGATCTTATATGCTATGATGTTTAAGTTACAATTGGAATTAATAGCATAGCAACGTAAGACTCCACTGGAGGTTGCTGGTCCTGAGACAAAGTGTTTACGAGGACTTGTTGATAGCAACTGAACATTTGCTATCAACAAGTCCTCGTATTATTCTTGTTCGTCTTTGAATAGTTCCGTGCCAGTCGTCCTTGTGAAAATTATAAGTATTATTTAATTTATCCGTTTCAGATTACCAATCTGTAGCTACAAATCCAACTAATGGCGCTGTCTTCTTGGCTGTCATGAGTTTTCTATTGGCGTTGTTTTTCGTATCAGATAGTTTTCGCTTTTCAGACATCGGAAACTCAACAAAAACGTAAAATTGTAATGTTTTGTATTCTCGTATCAGATAGTTTTCGCTTTTCAGACGTCGGAAACTCAACGAAAACGTAAAATTGTAATTTTTTGTATTCGTCCTTGAGAGACTGCGGTAATTTCTCGGAGTTCTATAATCGATAGTACATCAGTAATATTTACTATTTCCAATATCCTCTATCAACCATTTGACCCTTGGCTTTGCAATTTTTGAATTCTAATTCTAGTGTTTCTAAGTTAGTAATAATAAATGCCACAATAACTTTACATTATCATCGGAATGAAAATATGAATTAAAATCACTTGCAGAATCATTATATTAATACGCATTGTGACGAACTGTTATACTGCATGAGACAGTCATTTCTAAAAATCGTTCTAATTTTTAAAATATTTAATTTTACTTTTAAAGGAACAAGGGTTTTTCTAATTTAAAGCGTCATTTATAGAGCAATATAGATACTTTTCATAAGTTATTTCATAATATCAGTTCATAAGGATAAGTTAGTAGGTGCCTATTTTTATTAAAAATGTGTATAACTCATTTTTGAATAAATGTGGTTTGTTCCCTTGTCGCTATAAGATCTTTAATTGCTTCAATGGTCAAAACTAAGCGAGAGCGCCCACCAAACTTGCGTGGCAAGTAGCACGTAGCAAGTAACACGCGTCTAGCATGTTTCTTAAAATGTAACCAATGAAAACGAATGATTAGAATGAATGACGTCACTGTCATTTTGGTGTGCGCTGAATCGTTCGTTTTCATTGGTTACATTTTAAGAAACATGCTAGACGCGTGCTACTTTCCACTTGCCACGTGCCACGCCACTTTGGTGGGCGCTCTCACTAATGTATAAACACAATCACCTTTCCACCTAAATTGAAACTAAACCAACAACTGCAGTGACCTGTATTGATTTGTGTTTTAGTATTCCGTTGAATAAAGTATAAAATTGCTCTCATTTAATAAAATTTAAATTTAAAAATCTAATATATTTTCAATACAATTTAAAATATACACATAATTGTGTACTATTTTGATTCAGTGTTCGTCAATGAAGAAGGAAATGAAGTAGCGGATAAAGCTTTGGATGTCGCCTTAACTTATTTAAAAAAGAACAGTAAACTTGGAATAAGCGTCGATTTAAAAAGAGTTGTTGGCAATAGAACCGATTCAACAGCGTTTTTGGATACACGTAAGTTAATTTAATTGTTTTTTATTATTTGTTTACTCTATTTTTGACATCGATATTTGAGAAAGATTTTATCAAGCTTTTTAATTAAAAAAAAAACATTGAATTATTAGAATAAACAAATCTGTTACCGATAATTAACCTGAATTTATATATTTTTAAGTTCTTTAAGTAAAAAGTGGAAACTAAATAATATAATAAAGACATAGACAAGAAATTTTTTAAAGAAGATTGATGTGAAAGTCATATAAAAATTTTTACTTAAAAAAAGAAATATTATATTTTTATTTCTCTTTTTTAATATGTGCAATACAGTGCACTGCATCTCTCCTGACGTGTTCCATTTCACTTCATTATCGTGTTGTTCTGCCTTTGATTGGTTTATTTTTCTTTGGTGCGTTTCTGATTGTCCTGCTTTAGGTGTCTTCACCTCTTCAGGACGTGGCTTGTTTTGTTGTGTGTCCTCTCTGGATCACTGTCTTATGTCTCACCGGTGGTTTGCATCGGTGACTTTTATTCCTGCGGAGGAGGTATATGTCCAGGGTGGTCGGAGGTGAAAGAGTTTGAGCTAAAACGGTCCTTTTAGCCGGTTATAAAACGGAGTTTTCTACAGGGTATCCATGTATTCATCAGAGAGTTCATTGCTAGCTAAGGTTAGCAATTTAGTGGGGGAAGGGGAGTTTTTAGGATGTCTGATGAATACATTGCCAAAGAATGAGCAGGTAGTTTTGATGCTGTTTTAGGCTCGGATAGTGTTGATTGTATAACTCCTACTCAAAGAGGAGAGCCTCTCATTTATGAGCTGGATGTTCGATAGCTGACGTATGAGGGCGGAAGGGTAGTCGGGTCGTTTGTAGTTTACTTAACGCAGGATTCTCCTTTCCAATCCCAGCAGCTGTTGTGTAAGTTGGCCACTGAACATGGCATATATATTAGCTCTATATTCAATCACGAGCTTGATGTATGTTATGTAGGTTTTAGGTGGAAATCAGTAATAATGTGATAATACATCGAGTACCGCAGCTCTCTTGTCTGCTTCTTTCTCTCAATTTTATTTGCCAAACTTCCTCTTATATATGGTGATGCTATGGCGGCTAGTATGAACAGAGACCGGAGCGGAGTAAGTTTCAAATAGTCACTAAAATTCCCATGATTTCATTGATAGCAAAGTCAACATCCTTAACGTAAACCGAGCCCTTTCATATTCTAGCAGCTAACTCACTAGCAGTAAAAAAGCCAAGAATGATGTTATTATTACCTGTAGCTACACTCCCACCCCCAACTTAAATCTACCTGCTTGCGGATAATGCTATTCCTAATACTTACCTTGTTCTTCAGCTCATGACAATATTGTGTTATGTAATACGTTTATATATCCAGGTATCACATTTGGTATAGATGCATTGCTCCAGTCTAATCGTACCAAACTCCTAGCTCCTATATCTCCAGTCGAGGCGTGTGAAGTCCATCAAGCGGCTCTTGTGGGATTGTCTTTAGGAAGCCTTTCTTTAATCTTAGTCTAGACTATTTGTGTAGTGGTCCTCCATATAGTGGGTGACTATCGTCGAACGCTTGTTTGAATCGTTCGATGTGTTCTTCTATCCTACTGAGAAGGATGGGTCAAGACAGAAAATTGTTAAGATCAATAAAAGTACGCAAGGTCACAGAACTTGAACAAATACTGCGGAATGAAAAATATAGACTATTGCAATTTAACGTAAGGTAAAACAGATGGAAAAAAACGGAATAGGTAAAAAGAAAAAGTTCATGGATGCGAAATAGTCGGGACTGAATTACCATGGGCGTAGAAGAATTATTCCAAGCAGCTAAAGAGCTAAAGATAGACAAACTTTTAGACATATGGCCATCAATCTCTATTGAAGAAGACACGGAGACAGTATATGAAAAAGAAGACTATTCATAAGACTATATTTCTAATATCTAATGTAGCCATTTCTAGTCACAAGAAAACTTTAGAACCTTCGCTCCATTTCTCTTATTAAAGTTTGAAAGGTTTGCTATGGTATTTTTTTTCTACTTATCACGAGCTGTTTGTTCCAAATCAGATAAAAGTTTGAAAAGGGGAACTTCTACGCCAGATACAACTTTAAAGCTTGTCTTTGGCATGTTCAATTCAATCATGCACCTCAATTTGTAATTCGTACTTCATCAATATACTGAATAACATCTGTAGCTATATGAGGGTAAGTATTATCATGCAGTAACTAAAATTCCAGTTTTATCAACGATGCAAATAGAACTACATGCTCTTCAAGAATCTCCAGCACATATTTGCATGCATTAAAACCAGATTTAGCTATACACTAACTACGTACAGACATCAGAGTTTCTACCAAATCGTTCTCTTTTTCTTCTCAAGGCTTTAGACTGGCCATCTAGCGCTCACAGTCAATTTTTCGTCTCGTCTATAAATAAACTACGCTTCCAGTTAAGTACATTCTATTCTACGTATTGCCTAGTGAATCTTAAACCATTACCACGGTGATGTTTGGCAGGAAGATATCCAGTAGCACTTCACCTATTACTAAAATTAACTGCATTAAGACGTTTTCTAACTGTATCGATATTGCGTACTTTTTGACTGTAACAATGTATACTATGACTGTAGACGTTCTGTTTCTTACGAAAATAAAAGAGAAAAAAAGTGTTTATCATTTTAGAAAGTAGCTCTGTATTGTCCGTGTACTGATTTTCTTGTGTGTGTTCCAGTTTCCCGAAAACGTTGGAATACTTTAACTATCATTGTGTGATGCATGTCCAACGTATTCCTTGTGCATATGGGGCACGTAATGGCAATTTTGAATCACGTTAAACTAAGTCATTACCTTAATATCTTCATATTCGGTTAGAGGTCTAATCAATGCTCAATAAATAAAAAGCTTATATTTTATTACTGCCTAAAAATTTAACGTCACCTTACACTCTACGAAATGCTGGTTAAACTGTTACTTAAGGTATCTTCTTCTTTCAGTGCCTATTCATCCGAATTTTGGCACTTAAGGTATAGTCAATGAAAAATAAAAACCTACAATTTAATAACTGAAGCAATTTGAACAGAAAAAAATAAATAAATAAAATGGAATAAAAAACCGTACAGTTAATTGGATCCAGTTCTGCCTATCGTTCTAGTAAAGTTAAACAACTTTTAGAAGTAATGGATTTTGACAAGAGCTATGACCTTGAAAATAATAGGTAAACTTGTGTACTGAATCGGCATGACTCATGGCTCTTGTTAAAATCCATTACCTCTATCATTGTTATTTCCTTTTATTTACCATTTTTCAACACAGTAAGCATAGGTGCCATAATTCTGTCCAGGAGTGTACATTTTATACTTTATGTAAACTAACTACAGTATTATTAAATTTCTTTATTTATCACGCATAAAAAATTAAGTTACAATTTCTTTTATTTTAGTATGCACAACTTACAACGAAATGTTAGAAGGCAAGACGCCTCCGCACTTGGTTTTGGATACTACTATGACAGGTCTAGGATCAGAAACAGTAAAATCTTTCACAGCAGCCTTAGCCTTACCAACTGTAAGTGCTTCTTTTGGCCAAGTAGGTGATTTGAGACAATGGAGAAATATAGATGATAACGAGAAGAAGTATTTGGTACAGATAAGTCCTCCTGCTGATTTAATACCTGAAATCGTTCGGACTATTGTTTTAAATCAAAATATTACAAATGCTGCAATTCTCTTTGATCATTCTTTTGGTAAGTAAAAATTCTTTATAGCCTTACATATAGCAAATGATATCATACATATAATGCTTACTTTGCCTACCACATAAGGTATACTATAAGGGGTTGAAAATTAGGGATGAAAATTACGGGGCTAGAGGTAGGGCAAGCAAAACAAACTGAAACTTTTGCTAACGGCTCTATTTGAGAGCTGGTTCATGGATAAGTGAATGAAACAATAGGATTGGATTGGGGTAACTACCAAAAGTAAATCAAAAGAGGTACTTACAGGAATCTCCTGGACAAACACGATATAAGAAGGTTCTCAAGCTATTTAAAATAAGGACGCCGCTTTGAAGAATCTTCCTGCTCGATGAAAGAAAAGGCTCTGCCTTCCTAAAAAATATAAAAAGGGGTTAGAAACTTTTTTAAAATAAATAAACAAATTGGTTTAGGTAAAAAATTAAATATTTACTGCTGCCTTACCACAAACAGTTACAAAAGTAAATAGTACAAAAATAGTAATTAACAGTTACAAAAATAATACAAAATAACAAAGAACAGGAAATAATTACTATGTTCTATTCGTTTACAAACTCTAGAAGTTGGAGATACTACAAGAACTCACAATTGTTACTGGGCAATAATTTGTAACTGAGAATAGTTAATATGACAGCTAGGCCAAACCTTAACATCTACAATTGTATTTATTACAATTGATTAAACTGATATGAAAGCAATTATTATTAGAACATTTAGTTAGTTTATTTTTCCTTTAAAAGTTCAACAAAAAAGTTACCTGGATTTCACTCAAATTTCTTTAAAATTTCTGGGGTTAGGAACTGGACTTACACTGCAAACACAAATGCACCTCTAAACTGCGGAAATATTATGAAACGGCTTAAGACAAACAAAATGAGGCTGAAAGTACTTAGAAACATAGAAACCGTGATTATTCTTTCAAAACTAACACATATTGAGTATAAATCACTTTTTCAGAACAAATTTGTCGATTCTGAACGCCGACACTAGCCTGCCTCTTTTCTATTTAAAGATTCTCCCAAACCTGCACTGTAACTACACATTTATCTGCTACACTACTACCAAACTTTACTATTTCCGATAATAAAAAAAATAAATAAGGAAAAACCATTTCGGATTAAATGAAAATTCGGACCAACACTGAAGCCAACTGCCTTTGACAGCGGCTCCAGTAAGAGTGATGTAATTCTCTTTAAAATTCATTCGCCCAATTCGGTATAAACAAAACCTAAATGGGAATACTTCTGTTTATCTGACGCACAAAACCTAAGGCGGCTCTCGATCAAAAGAATACCGAGGAAAGGCATTGTGACCAAATGAACACATATAGAAGAAGCATAGGTACACCAACTATTGCCTAAAGAACTAAAGGCAGCAGTTATTCATAAGTAATAAGGTATATGATAGCAGAAAAAGAAAAGTAAGATGGAACTGGCATAGATAAAACTGTTTTGAACAACGCTACACAGAGAGAATTCAAGCATATTCAACACGAATTCATAAGGAAGTATTTCGGTGAACTAACCGCTAAGAAAACGACTGATTACTCCTTATGGAAAGCAACTAAAAACGGTTTAAAATTCCAATTGCGCAGAATGCTTCTATAAGAAAAAACGATGGCTTCTGACACAAGCATTTACTTATATATTGTTCATCACTATTTAAGAGCACGCTTTTAGTTTTATGGTTCACTTTAATTTACTTTTAAGCAACATCTTGTACATTGTAAATAAATAAACTGTGTTAATAAATAAAATTGTGAGTTTAATTTCGCATTAATATATCCTTACCAATAGTTTTTTTTTATTCTGTTTGTTAACTTGATTATGCGTTTTTAAGCAATAATAATTTTTTAACAGTGATGGATCATAAATACAAATCGCTTCTTCAAAACGTAGCCACAAGACATATCATTACTCCGATAAAAGATGGCAACGAAGTTGTAGATCAGTTAAATCAACTTAGGAAATTAGATTTGCTGAACTATTTTATTTTGGCAAGTTTAAGTAACATTAAACGAGTCTTGGATGCTGCGGATACTCTTTCATTTTTTAACAGGTAACATTAGGTTTTTTAAAATCAATTTTAAAATTAATATCAACGAATAACTTATCAATATCAATATTTACTTTTTTAATAATAATGTTTTGAATCGATTATTTTATTTGAGAAAGTTTGCCACTAGAATGTTTTCTATTTGGGTTCCTCTGTTTTTCTCATTATTTGTTAGCTGCTAACTTATTAAGTGTTATTATTAGGTAAAACTATTCAATAAAAGTGCAACTAATAAATATTTTTTTATTGATGTATTGGAGTTTAGTAAGTATTAAAAACACACTCATAGAAAATTACAAACTCAAATAATTATTAGATAAAAATTACAATAGACACGAAAGTATGGTTGGCGAACAGGAGTAAGTAAATGGAGGAGATGTACCAAAAACATGATCTATTTAACATCCACAAAAAATTATGGAAATCAACCGTGAATCATCACATAGTTCTAGACACACAAGAAATAGAAGAACTATATTTCTAATTTTTTTGACAAAAGAAGTCCCTCCTTTCGTAATTAAAATCAAAGAGAAATGGAGTCAAGCATAATGACGTCAGAAATAGAGAAGGTTCTGAGAAGAATAAAAAATGAGGGTGTTCACAAACGAGGAAATTTTAAACATTTTGGCAACAGTGTAGTTTACAATTTACACTAACAAAAACTTCTCTTCACTGGCTTTACAACTCGGGGTGAGTCTTCGCCGCATCCACTATCGTCCTCTATCCTCTACGATCTTGCGCTTCTATATCCCATTGTCGTACCCCAATTCTAGATAAATCGGCTTCAACATCATCCTTCCATCTTTTTCTCGGTCGGCTTACTGATCTTCTACCATCTGGTCTTTCAAAAAACACTGTCTTTAACACTCTGTCAACCTCTGATCGTACCACGTGACCTGCCCATGATATCGGTTTGCCTTGATATGTTTTGCCTTGATATGTCTAACTAGTTTTCAGTTCCATACAGAGTCACCAATTCAGCATTGCGGCGTCTTTTCCAATCCCCTGTGAATTCATCTCTTTGCGATCCAAATATTATTCTGAGAACCTTTCTTTCAAATACTAGAAGCTTATTGATTTCCCGCTGGTTGAGAGTCCATGTTTCACTGCCATATGTAATAATTGGGCGAATAATCGACTTGTAAAGTCTTAATTTAGATTTTCTTTTTAGCAGCTTCGATCTTAATACTGTTGAAAGGAAGTATAATGCTCTATTTTCCGCAGTTATCCTTGCTGAGACCTCTTTTTCTATGTTGTTGTCAGCTGTGATTATCGCCCCCAGGTATTTAAAATCCTTTGCCACTTCTAAGTTGTGATCATTAATAGTGATGTTCTGCCTAACTCTTGGTCTTGGACTTTTTGTTACAACCATGTACTTTGTCTTTTCTTCATTTATTTGGAGACTCAGACTACCTGTTTCCTCCCCGAGCTGTGAAATCACCTCTCTCACGTCTCTTGTAGAATACGTAACTGCATCTATATCATCAGCAAAGGCCAGTAACAGTTTTGATCCTTGATCAGCAAATCCTCCTGTCAGCTCAGACGATATTTTACTTATTGCATATTGTAAAGCACAATTGAACAGCAACGGTGACAAGGGGCCCCCCTGCCTAAGTCCTGAATTTATACCAAATGGTATCGATGTTCTGCTTCCTATCTGTACTTGCGCATATGAGTGTGTCACGCACATTTGCGTTAATTCAACTAATTTTCTTTCTATTCACATTTCTAACATTGCTATCCACAATTTACTTATTTTTATGGAATCATATGCTTGCAGGAAATCTATGAAAATTTGGTGCACATCGCGGTTGAATTCCTAGTTTTTTTCTAATATTTGTCGGATGGTAAATATGTGATCTATAGTTGACCTTCCAGCACGAAAACCGCATTGGTAGTCGCCTAGAATATCTTCCTAATATGGTGTGAGTCTATTTAGTAAAATAATTGATAGCACTTTATATGATGTGCTAATAAGCGATATGCCTCTATAGTTTCGGAATTGTTCTCTAGGCATTTTCTGTTTCTTCTGCATACTAAGCCCTATGCTATTATATTATTATATAAGTTTACCTAACCTCTGAGGTACCTGTATCTTTAAAAACTGACGGCATATTTTCTAAAGTTGTTATTACATATTGTAGTATCGATTTATATGTGTGATTCATGCTGACCCCTTAAAAATGTCCCATGGGCTTGTAGTCTCACTATAAGAATTTTTTGTCCAGGATTAGGGACGAAGAACACAACTTTGACGATGCAGATGACACATCAGAAAGACATTAATTAATTTAAATTATTTCGCGTTATAATTCTCAATATTTATATTTTTTTATAAGCTTTTCTGCTCCCACAGCTTTTCCAAGGTAGGAATTTTATTTTATTATCTTATTTTGGTGAAATACCCAATACATTTGAAATAAAATAAAAAATTAAGTTAAATAATGACTTATGTTTTAGAAAATTTGCGTGGCATGCAATAACCCAAGACGATGGTGAAATTAAATGTGTTTGCCGAAATGCCACAATATTATTCGTCAAACCTTTACCGAACACTACGTATCAGGACAGACTAGGTACGATGCAGAGGACTTACCAATTAAATACGGAACCAATAATAGCTTCAGCATTTTATTTTGATCTATCTCTTCATTCCTTTATAGCGATTAAGTAAGTAATTTGTAATTCACATTTTTTTGTAATTTATATTCCTATTTATTCATGCATTATCTAGTGCATGGACGTATAAACACAGATAGACTCAGTTATTTACATAAAATTGTGAAGTCAAAATTATTTGAATAGGTCACATTCTCAGCACCTTCAACTGTTGTCACGTTATTTTATTAAAATTTCTTATTCGCGAGTCGCTGAAAATATTACTCCGTATTTTATACTCTACAGGTGCTATCAAACCAAAATAATAATTTATTGGTTATATTAATATATTTAATTGTAATCAAAATATCAAATGTGCAGATAGTGTGCATTATCATTTAATAATAGCGTATAATACATATCAATCAATTATTTTATATGTAGAAGCACTGAAAACTATTTATAAATGGCAACGGTATTTACATTTCTCTGTCTTATGGCTCTACGTCAAACTTCAAATGCTGTGTTGTTTCATGTTTGTTTACTTTTTACAGTAGATAAGGAAAAGTTGGTTTTCGTTATTTTGGCTGTATTTTGAATGATATTTGTGAAAAGTGAAATAAACATATTATAATAATGGTGCTACAGTGTTGTATTTGCAAAAAAACGCAATATTTACATTACGATCTCTCATTTCATTTGTAAGTACTGTCTATTTACATTATTTGAGATGAGGAACTGAGGAAGCGTGTTTGTTTACATTTTAAAACATGTCTTTCATAGACGTACCATTGGGCAGGGGGGTTCAACTTCAATCCATAAAATGTAATCATTGAATTAGTTACAGAACACACCACCAATCGCTATTATCGGTATATTCTGTAGATCACAAAACATTATTAATGTTTTAGCACAAAACATTATTAATGTTTTGTGCTAAAATAGCGATGCCTTCCTAACTGTCGTCTGTCGAATGTTATTGTCATAATTCTCAAATGTCGAATATTAATTGATGTTGATGAAAAATTATTAATTCAATATTTGTTTTTTGTGTTTTAGTTAAAAGTGCTGTTAGATCAAGGAATATCGTATTTAGGAGTAGAATATTAATTGTTTAGTTAAGGTGTGGTATAAGGATATTTGTTTTTTTTTAAGTTAAGTTAGAAGTTAGTGTTACATTAGCCTTTAGTCTGTTGTTTCCCAGATCAAAACCAACTACAGATAGGTTAACGGCAAGGACAATTTAAATCAAACTACCAATATGCCTTTAGATAGTCTTTGCTTTTGCTTACAAATTTTAAAACAGGCTTCTATGATTCCTACTCTTATAGCATATTAATTTAATATTATGTATTAATTACTACATGTTTTGATTTTGATTAAATAAAAATTATTGGTCTAATCTAATGTCTCTGAAAACTTTCAGGACTAATTTGTCACATTTATTCGAATATATAAACAGGATTAGAGTTCTCTTTGTTGATCTAGTTTTGAGCAGTATTTGCTTTCCTCAAATCGCGAGTATAGGGTATTCACCAACTTACGCCTCTAAAGGATTAGTAAATATAAGGACAATAAATCAGGTATACTATGAATAATCCTTTAGAGGCGTCAGTTGGTTGAATACCCTATATATGAAATGAACGTTAGGACGAAATTCAAAATTTCCCGTGCTTTATAGAAATTCAATTTTCGCGCGTTTACAATATTACCAACTACACAAGGCGTTTGTCAATAAGCAAGCTCTCCAACATGATAAAAATATTGATTAGTACCCGAACACTCCAACGTGGCGCTGATGATCACAACATTTTTTTGTACAGAAGTAGGTTATCTATCCCTCCTCTAATCTATGCCATTGGGTTTATTCATGTTCATTAATGTATTAAATAAGATATGAGTTCATGAAATTAGTAGACATTTTTAAATTATAAGTAGACATCATCTGATTAAAAAATATATGTTTTGTACCGTTTTAATGTAATATTTCTACTGGATACAAATAAATTAATGAAATGAATAAAACTCATTTATTTTTCTATGTAGGTTTCCAAATAATATTGACGATCGAACTATTTGGGTAGCAAATTTAGGAGAAAACATAAAGATTTTTTATTGTAACATTATTTTATACTATTACCTATAAAATTACCTATTAAAAAATTAACTCGAATTCAACTATATTTGATTATATTAATTTTAAAGCAAATAAAATTGTATTTTAATTTTTCTATAAAGACGTGATTTGTTAATAGTTAAACTCTCGTTTTTTTTTTAATTCTTTGAACGTGTTTTTATACATTATTACTACTTCCAATTTTTAATGTCTGAATAATTATCCCCGCGAGTAAAAATTCAAGCACGCTTATGCTCATTGATAAAGCATCACATTCTATCCAAGCTTCAAAACATTGTGTGTTAAAGGTATCTTATTGCTGTGTCCATCTGTTTTTATACGTCCATGATCTATTGCGATAAAAAAGAAAAAAATATAATAAAGAAGAATAAAAAGCATATGCATGAAAAAATTACTTTATGAACTTGTTTAATGTCTATCTATGTTAGAATAGAGACCTTCTGTATATCTAAATGTCATTTGTAAATTTTACACTGTAGAGATAAATGGAGCGTTTGGCTTAGTAGACCTTTCTAGGGATTTTATCGGCCGTTAATATTGGCCATTCAATATATCTATTATTCTTAAACTTTCTCGTAGCTGCCTAGCTTATGCTCGCTCCCTGGATATTTTTTCGTTCTTGATGAGCAGATGTATAAAAGAAAAATGACCAAAAGGAATATTTATAAACGAACATCCAGTCAAGTTTACTGACAAATATAAAAGAAGAAAAATCCTGCATAATGCTTCTGCCAGTCGTGTTCTAAACTGAGCCTGTGTGACTTTAGGCTTTGCGCCACTTCTATGTTCAGCTGAATTCTTAGGTTAGATCTAGTTAGATCTAGTAGATGGTAAAATATTATAAAATATAATTTTTTACTCCTTAGAATAATTTTATTCCGTCCCATATTGCTGTCCAACAAATCAACACCGCCCATATGACGGTTGTATTCTTGTATAAGATATGGACAACTTACTTCTTTTGTTCTCTTTTCTTTCTTGTCATATCTCTTGGCAGTAGTTTTAGGAACTTTGCCAGCGAAAGTCGATAGAAATGTGACTAATTTGTTATCTTTCCACACTAAGCTACTTATTTCCACACCATCACAAGTACTAACATACTCTACACTAGTTCCTCTTTCTTAATTTTTCATAGCCTTTTCATCCGGAAGCTTACAATTTGGCTTACGATTCCTAAACTGTGAATACCTTGACTTATTAAACTGTTTATTCGGGCTGTTGGGCCGTTGTCTTCTGTTGAGATTAGTTCTCGACGTTTCGCCAACACTAGGGGTTGGCATCTTCTGGAGATGTTGATGCTTCGCTTGTAAGCAGAAACTGACGACGCGTTGTACTACGGAGGCAATATTTATAATTCCCACTCGCCTCCCCTCCACTGGTTTCGGCTTGAGGGGGCGTGTCGTTGTTTATAGTAGCTTTTCTATCTCCGTGTTTGGCGGGAAGGGCGTTTGTGGATTTTAATACTGGTATCCATGTTTTGTTGATTTTTAGTCCTTCTTCTATCCTATTGAAATTGTTTGGGTGCTTGTATATTTCCACCGCTTCCCGATATAACCGTGGGTAGTACTGTGAAGTTTTGTCCAGCATCTGTGTTTCTTCAAATAGTATTCGATGTTCTCCGCTTCCCAAAGCGTGTTCGGCAACGGCAGATTTGTCGATATGTCCTAAACGACAATGGCTTTTATGTTCATTTATCCTGGTGTTGGTGTGTCTTTTTGTGGTTCCCACATATACCATTCCACATGTGCATGGTATTCGGTATACTCCGGCCGTTGCTAATGGGTCGCGTTTGTCTTTTACCGATCTTAAACAATCCTTGATTTTCTTTGTAGGTCTGAAGATGGTCTTTATGTTGGCTTTCTTGAGTATTCGCCCAATTCTGTCCGTTACCCCCGATCTATAGGGCAAGAACGCTTTCCCTTTACATTCTGTTTCTTCGTCCCTTCTTCTAGATACGTTGTTCATCGCCTTGTGTATTTCTCTTCTGGTGTACCCATTAGAGGTGAGCGCTTTTTCAATATAAAGAAGTTCACTTTGGAGATGTTGTGGTTCACAAATTCTCTTCGCCCTCTCTGCCAAAGTTTTGATGATACCTTGTTTTTGGCTAGGATGATGATTTGAGTTCCTGTTTAGGTATCTGTCTGTGTGTGTAGGTTTTCGATACACTTTATGTCCTAAGTGACCTTCCTTTCGATTTACTAATACATCCAGGAACGCTAGTTGTTGAGCTTTTTCTGTTTCCATCGTAAATTGAATATTTGGGTGTAGTGTATTTATATAAGCCAGGAAATCGTTTAGTTTTTCTGCTCCGTGACCCCAAATCACAAAGGTGTCATCAACGTATCTGAACCATACCCTAGGCTTGTATGCTGAGTCCATTATCTTCTTCTCTAGATGCTCCATGAAAAGGTTGGCTACGACCGGGCTTAGTGGGCTTCCCATTGCTACTCCATCCATCAGTTCATAAATTTGGTCTTCCCATGAAAAGTATGTGGTAGTTAGGCAAATACGGTATAATTCCACCATATCCTTGGATACTAGTCCCTCAATTAAATTCAGAACGTCTTCTAGGGGGACTCTTGTAAATAGGGAAACCACATCAAAACTAACAAGAATGTCAGATTCCTGCAAAGTTATTCCTTTGATCTTCTCAATAAAATGGGCGGAGTCTTTTACAAAGGCATCGTTTTTTCCTATATGTGGTTGTAAAATATCGGCCAGATGTTTTGCAAGGCTGTCAGACGGAGATCCTATGGAGCTCACAATAGGGCGGAGAGGTACATCGTCTTTGTGTATTTTCGGCAAGCCATACAAGCGTGGTGGGACTGCTTCGCTGTTGCATATTCTTGGCTTTATCTCCTCTGGTATGGACGAAGATTTAATAAGTCTGTTGATTTTCCGTAGGGTGACTGCTGTGGGATCTTTTTTAAGTTTCTTATAAACCGCAGGATCTAGAAGATTTTGTATTTTCGTTTTGTAGTCGGCTGTCTTCATTACGATCGTGGCGTTTCCCTTGTCTGCTGGTAAAATTACAACATCTTTGTCTGCGTTTAACGATTTTATGGCACGTATTTCTTGGTGGCTCAAATTATTTTTCGGTGTCTTAGCTTTATGCAAAATTCTTGCTGATTCTGTCCTTATTTCTTCAGCTGCTTCGATTGGTAAGTTACGGATCGCAGACTCTATATTAGCGATGATGTCTTCTTTGGGTATAACTTTAGGCACAATCGTAAAATTTCCCCCTTTGGCTAGCAATGATGTTTCAGCTGAAGTTAAAACTTTATCTGAAAGATTGACCACTGTTCTTTCTGTGTTTTGTTTTGATTCTACCTCCTTATGTTTGGTTAAGCGTTCGTATTTGTTTTTCTGGCGTTCAGTGTTCCTTTCTAGTTCATTTTCCATTTTTCTGTAACAAATGGATTTAATTTTATTCCAATCTTCATATTTCAACCTGCTGCTCAAAACGTAAAACAAATCTAGAAGCTCCTTGTCAACCTTCGCCAAATTTCGTCTGGTGTCATGTATTCGTTCTCGTAATAGTGCTTTTTCCATGCGTGTATATATTCTATTGGCTTGACTTGTTCTGATGGATCGATTTGTTCGTAAGAAGTTCGGTAGTACCCCGTTGTCTCGACATCGTGATAGAAAAGCTAACGACGCAAGAAGTTGAGCTTTCTTCTTCCGTAGACAATCTAGTCTTCTGTAGTATTTCTGTAGTAGTAGTTCTGTAGATTTTATGGCACGTATTTCTTGGTGGCTCAAATTATTTTTCGGTGTCTTAGCTTTATGCAAAATTCTGTGTGTGTAGGTTTTCGAAAACCTACACACACAGACAGATACCTAAACAGGAACTCAAATCATCATCCTAGCCAAAAACAAGGTATCATCAAAACTTTGGCAGAGAGGGCGAAGAGAATTTGTGAACCACAACATCTCCAAAGTGAACTTCTTTATATTGAAAAAGCGCTCACCTCTAATGGGTACACCAGAAGAGAAATACACAAGGCGATGAACAACGTATCTAGAAGAAGGGACGAAGAAACAGAATGTAAAGGGAAAGCGTTCTTGCCCTATAGATCGGGGGTAACGGACAGAATTGGGCGAATACTCAAGAAAGCCAACATAAAGACCATCTTCAGACCTACAAAGAAAATCAAGGATTGTTTAAGATCGGTAAAAGACAAACGCGACCCATTAGCAACGGCCGGAGTATACCGAATACCATGCACATGTGGAATGGTATATGTGGGAACCACAAAAAGACACACCAACACCAGGATAAAATGAACATAAAAGCCATTGTCGTTTAGGACATATCGACAAATCTGCCGTTGCCGAACACGCTTTGGGAAGCGGAGAACATCGAATACTATTTGAAGAAACACAGATGCTGGACAAAACTTCACAGTACTACCCACGGTTATATCGGGAAGCGGTGGAAATATACAAGCACCCAAACAATTTCAATAGGATAGAAGAAGGACTAAAAATCAACAAAACATGGATACCAGTATTAAAATCCACAAACGCCCTTCCCGCCAAACACGGAGATAGAAAAGCTACTATAAACAACGACACGCCCCCTCAAGCCGAAACCAGTGGAGGGGAGGCGAGTGGGAATTATAAATATTGCCTCCGTAGTACAACGCGTCGTCAGTTTCTGCTTACAAGCGAAGCATCAACATCTCCAGAAGATGCCAACCCCTAGTGTTGGCGAAACGTCGAGAACTAATCTCAACAGAAGACAACGGCCCAACAGCCCGAATAAACAGTTTAATAAGTCAGACGATGGCCGTGAAAGCCTAACGCAATTTGTGAATACCTTGTTTGGAAAGATATACAAGGAGAGGTATCGAAGAGTAATAATTGTTAAAATAAAGCCTGTGACTCAGATTCCTAGGAATGATTCTAGCCAATCTCACCACAACATCTGCAGTTGCTACGAGGTCAGGTTCAAAAGCAGGTCTCGTTTTTTGATCATTCTCTTGTCCTGTATATAATTCTATACGATACGCATATCCAGAGTTACTGCATAAGATAAAAAATTTAAAACCCCATTTATGTGGCTTGTTTGGTAGATACTGCTTCATGTAGTGCCTAGCTTTGGTAAAACAAATTTGCTCATCGACGGACAGATATTGTTCTAACGGAATTCCGTTTGAAAATGCTTCATTGAGGTGGTCAATTATTGGTCTAATTTTATAAACTTTATCGTAGTTTGGATTGTCACGGGATAAGGCATTCCCGTTATTATTGAAATGTAAAAATTGTTTGATTTTTTTGTACCTGTTGACTGACATAGCACTTTTTATTTTCTCAGTGACCAATATGCCCTCATATATCCCAATATGGCAAATGAACAAGGGACATATATATTGTAATTCCAATAAACTGATTTATGTCACATCGTGTAATATTCAGTGGTTTGTTAGGATTCTGCTGTATGGCATATAAATTTGACTCCTCCACAATTTTGTCTAAAAGGCTATCTGTGAAGAATAAATTAAAATATTTATAGGGACTTTCTAGTTGTAGGATATGATTTGGAAGACTCTAATTTCCTCTAAATTCCAGTTGCTGTTCGGATAAGCTCATTTTTTTCTCCATATAATGTCTAAAAATAAAAAACATCTAGTATTTTTGATAACAAATTGATTGTAAAATAAGTATATCTTTGCCCTTGGAGTAAACCAAAGTTTCTGGAGGCTCCTCCTCTACAGTGTCTACTATTTTTAATTAATTAGTGTCAATTTGTTCGTCAGGTAAGAAATCTGGATCGACAATATAATCATCATCATCATCAAACCCATCTTCGCTATCCCAAAGCCTATCTATTATATCGGTAAGTTCCTTGTCAGTCAGCGGCCTTTTATCTTTCCAACTCATGATAGTTTATCTAAAAGATAAAATTTACTAGATATGCATGATGTTGTTTGTAAACAACAAAAACAAAAAACATCATTATGTACCGCATTATATACATTATGTATACCGCAAGAAATCATGCATTTTGTTTACCTTATTATAACACTTAAAATATATTTACTCAAATTACTTCGGTAAAACTAACAAAAACAAACTGTGTGAACAAATAAATGTTTATTTTTAGTATGTTGTTTTTAAACAACATGATGCAGTGAAGGGTTAAGAAGATTTAAACTTTAAACCTATTATGCTGATATAAAAAACTAGAGTTATAAAATACTTGAGTTATTAATGTTTATAAACCTTTATACTCACGAATATTTTGCAGAGAACTTATTGCTGATGGAGTTTGGAAAAATGCTGTGACAAATTATATAACGTGTGATGAATATAACGGTAACAACAGCCCAAAAAGAATTGGTTTGGATTTAAAAAAATATTTTAACAAGGTAAGTTCTTTAGTTGCTATTTTCATATTAAGTTCTAACTGTTAGAAACAGTGAATCATAAAGCTGTGAAAAGATATGTTAAGACTAAAACGTACAGACAAGATTGTTTCAAGAGTAAGGTACATATCCAATTTATCCTTGTCAGTTAAAATATATATTTTTTGTATGTAAAAAAATAGAGACTAACACCGCGAAAACGTACTACCTCAAAAAAATTGTTAGGGTAGTAGATGATAGGAGAGATAGAGTATTTACTGGTGAACAACATTTTAATAAAAAATGGACAGACGCGGCGACAGAAGAATAAAGATTCAAAAAGGGTTGAAAAAACAAAAACAACAGAGAAAACTGAATGCCATCTGAGCATGAAATCGTGAGACAAAGTGATCCCAGTTTTTATTTACCTAACAGCCCATATGACTATCTATTTGGTTTTCTTTATATTTACTTTTAAATTAAACATTGAAAAATGTCTTACCTTGGCTGGATTTTTCGACAAGAAAAATACTTCTTAAAAATTAAATTTCATGCGAAATGAGCCTATTTTATTTCAAAATATTTTTCGTAAAGATTAATATACTTTTGCATGCGTTCCAGCCAATTTTGAAAGCACTTTTTTAAATTTCAGTCACATACATACAACAAAGTAAATCCCAGCTTCAGGGGACATACAATTCCCGGAGTAAGGTGCTCTCATGTTCGAAGATCAAAGAGATCACACCTCGTTGAAACGGTACCTCCATAACCTACCAAGCTACCTGCACCCCTTCCATAATCACAGTCATAACTTTAGGGAGGCTTTAGTTGTTTTTTGAAGCATCACTGCCTGTGACTTCTCTAGGTTTACTGCGATTTTCCATTCAATGAACCAATCTTCCAACTGATTAAGTGTATGTTGTAGTAATCTTATCGTTAGGTTTAGATCCACCCTTCTCCCTGAAATTACTACACATGATTCGCGTGGTGTATCCGCGGTATCTATTGTATATAGTAATGGTGACAGTACCCCCACCATTGGTACCCCAGCCTCAATCATTCCGACTTCGGATAAAACATTGCCTTGCTGTATTCAAGTTGGCTCATTTTGTGAATGAGCCTTTCGTGCTGTACTTTGTCCAATGCTTTGCTGACGTTTAGGAATGCGGTAGCAGTGTATTGCTTTTGGTTGAATAATTCGGCCAACCTTAGCACTTGTAGCTCACTGGAGTATTCAGTGTTGAAACCAAATTGTGCTTCTAGTATCGTACCTATCGTTTCAGACTTTTCTTTTAACCTAGCTGATATTATCCTCTCTACAACATTGCTTATTAATGATAGTAGGGTGATTGGTTTATAGTTTTGAGGAAACCTTCCATTTTTTTCCGCTGTTCGAAGCATTATAACTTGTGCTTATTTTCATTTGTTAAGGAATCTGTATAGTCAAAGTATCGCATTTATAATTTGAGTGATGTATACGATCGCCTTCCTTTCCAGATTTTTTAGTACTATGTTCGTGATCTGTACCCGTGCTTTTTTGCTTGTAGGCATTTATTTCTGTAATTTTATTTTAATTTTAATTCTTTTGACTTTTTTTGGGGAGGTGTGAGTCATCCATATTTGTTTTTTTGTTTCTTGTCTTTGTTTTTTTGTTTTTTTGTGGCATTTGTTTCTTGATAATCTTCTGTGGCTACTTTCTACTTTTTCTCTGTAATATATATCTGCAATCTATTGTTGATGTAGTCGGAATTGTCTTTCCAGAAAGTTTTTCATCGCTTCGGATTTTTCTTCTGTCGTCTACTCTATCCATTTTCTCTATGTAATGGTGGAATAGGTTTGTTTTCATTGCTTAGGATCTTTGAGATCTTCCGTATAGCCGGATTGCTTGGTTCTAAATGTTAAACGAACTCATCTATTATTTGGTTTTATGTTTTTGAAGCTGTTTTTTCATCTCCCTGTTTAGATGGTTTGTTTCTTTTCTTACTTCTGTGTTTCTTTTATGTCGTTATTAATCTCATGAAATCTTTCTTTTAAGGTTGATTTTTATTCAGTTATTGTGTTTCTTTCAACTGTATTTAGCAATTCCATTCGAATTCTGCATTCTGCGACTTTTTCTTCCAGTTCTTAGGTACACTTACTCGTTGGAATAATGCCAGTGTTTTCAATGACAATCCTTTTTGTCAATTTGTTTTCTTATTCTGGTATGTCTGGAGTGAATTTTGCTACGACCCTTCAATAGTTCATATGATTGGGTTTTGGTTTCCACTTCCATCTGAGTATCTGATTCTATATCATCTATTCTGATTATATATCATGCACTACTTCTAGGTTGTGCAGAATAGCTATGAACAGATGTGTTGGAAATGCGTCACCTTTGGAGAACAAGGTTGATTTTTCGGTTTTATTACTATTGCCTTCCCTTCGTCTTCCAAGTAGTCACATAGTATTCTCCCGTTCCTATTTGTTGTTCAGTCGTTTCATGCTCAGTAGAAGTAAACCAAAAGTTTAAGAAGCTCACAATACAGGGTATTGTGGAAGGTAAAAGCGTATTCCGTTTCGCTATATTGTGCGGTCTGTTCTTTACTGTTGCTGTTACTGTCTGCTGATCTTTACTGTTGCGAATAACGCCTTGGATTGAGCCATGTTTTAGTATTTACAGGTTGAGGCATGCTTAAATATTTTCGGAATAGGATTATTGAAATTACAACAACGAATATATTTAGAAAATTAGCGAATAACCCCCTCTGTGGCTTAGTGGTAAGAGCGCCTACCTTTGAACCTAAAGGTCGTGAGTTCGAATCTCACCTGGGTGGAGCAATTTTCGTCTATTAAAAATTAATGAATTAAAATAATATCTATCCTTGTGCGATCGGTACTCACCGGAGGGACCGCAGACGTTTGGATACAATTAGCGTCTCTTAGCAAAGACAATGACGTCGACTTTGCTAAGTATCAAGACAATTACTCTACACACACTACACTCTACACTAGGTACCTAACTGTAAAAATTCACTATACCATGCCAATGAACATTAGTTGTCGACGCATTAAACTTAATAAAAAAAAATGAGCGAATCATGTCTGATCCGAACTGAGTTGAATCAATAAATGCCAAAGCGAGTTGAAGGGCGCACTGTTATATAAACTTAATTACAAATCATAAACAATCGAATATATATAAGCAATATCAATCTTTAAGTCCCAGCAAACAATGCAAATAAAGTTCGTTTAACATTAAAAAATTGACATTTCTGTACTGGTAGTATCATATTATATACTTTAACTACCAACTTTGCACTCAACCAACGACGATATTTTCTAACCATTTATAGCTCATTGTCAAGATTATTAATTACACTTCTTCTAGTGCTAACTTCACTAATGGAGGTTTTAAAATTCGTCTCTATCTTCTGCTTTTCTTAAAAACCCGAAAAACTGGACTATGTCCAATCGCGAATATTTTTCAGTCACGATATTTGTCGTCCACCACAACCCCTGTTTTCTTCGATTTCACCCTCTATAATTTGCTGTAACCACTAGTACTATTTCTAAGTATGTGCCCCAATTATGCTGTGATGTGATCAAACGTGTTCTCTCTCTTCCCATTCCTATGCAACATCATTTCGTTCGTAATATGATCGGTACATGGTATTTTTAAAATTGACTTAAAAAGCCACGTCTCAAAACCTTCCAGCTTTTTCATTAGGTCAACATTAAAGTTCAAGATTTGGCACCATATGGAAAAATAGAGTAGATATAACATTTTACCATCCGATATCTGATTTGCAGATTGAGTTTTTGGTTGCTAAGAAAGGTAAACAACCAGTCCTTGCCACTCTACCAATTATTGCCACTGACCCTTAAATTGTAAGAAAATAAGAAAACTATTTAAATTCAAATTATATTTTTTGCAAGTACTAATACCTTATTAAGTTTGGCAACTGTATACTGTTGTACAATACCCAAGCATCAGCGATTTTTGTTGTATACCCCTTAGAGTAGTGTTGTGTAAAATTTCTTCCTATTTTTTGTGATTTCTTATGAAAAAATTAAGGTAAGTACATTTTTTTTTTCTTATTCACTTTTGTAAATGATTGTTTTATAAAATTATTTACACATGTGCTACTCTTAAAATACTATAAACTACATTTGTTTGCTGTTTAAATTCAGTTAAGGATACATATTTCTAAAGAAATGTACCTGGCAATGACTGGTTACAAAATATTTTATGAATACCAGTCATTGCCACAAGTGGCCATCATTGGTTTGGCTTATTTTTAATTCATTATAATGTGTAAATTTACTATTTAAAATTACGGTGTTGCCACTATTTTTTTTATTACAAAAACTTTACTATTTACCAATTATTGCCAGTGGTGGCAATCACTGGTTCTAAAGTGGCAATCATTGGTTACATTAATATTTGATATAACAAGTATTTTATTCATTCCAGAAATGGCACCTAAACGGAATTATTCGAAAGCCGGGTGAAGAAACTTTAAATAGGTTCAAGGTAACTTTAAATGAAAATCAGGATTGAAATGGTTCTATTGAGGATAAATCCCTTTTTAACATATGGAAAGAATGGACAATGGAAACACTACCAAACCAAATTAAATGTACCATCCAAAACAATATTACCATATTTCCAACTCAACTGCACACCAGTAAAAAATTTCCAACCAAATATCTCTGGTACTCATAGCTCAGATACATTGTCTACTCCTGAATCAAGTACATCACATGTACACTTGTACAGTCCATGCAAAGTTCCTACCCCATTTAAGAAAGCACTGTTTGGGCCAGACCCAAAACCTCAGACAAAGAAGATAAAACTAAAGGAAAAGATTCCATCCGAGGTACAATCAGAAGCTTGGCGTGAATATCACTTGAAAAAAGAAAATGAAAAGAAAAAGAAAGAAGAAAAAACCAAAGAAAAATTACAAGAGAGCAAGAATGTCTATTGAAAGAGAAGCCTAAACGGGATATTTCTGATGACGATGGAAAGGATGAAGAGTGGGTTGAGAGTGGTAGCAGCTGTGATGACATAGACTTTTGTGATAACCCTAACAAAGAATTTTGCCCATTAACTCACGGAGAACTTAGTGTGGGAAACTATGTACTTGTGAAATTCCTAGGTGGTAAAAAAAATCCATAACATACAGATATGTTTGTATTATCCAAGGCCTTATGGACAGTAATGATGTACAAGTAATGTCTATGAAATCTGTTAGTGTTGAAAAGAACATTTTTATTTGTGATAATACATCTACTTTGTTAACGAAAATTGTGTTTTAGGCATACTACCGACCCCTATTATTTTATCCACTGGTGAACAGATCCGTTATGAATTTACTTTGCCAGTGGATGTATTTAAGGCCCAAAACCTGTGGAATTTTTATTAATAAACAAGAATTTTCAGTAAAATGTAGAGTTATTTCTGTATGGCAATGACTGGGTGGCAATAATTGGTATTTTGAAAAATTGTGTGGCAATTATTGGTTTTTTGGCTTTATGTGGTTTTTAGCTTTAACTTTCTTATAGTGGCAATGACTGGTCATTTACCTAAATTTCCTCTTCTTTAAAAAGGCTGCTCGTAATTGCTCTATTCTTAATCAAAGTTCTAATTCTAAATCTGTAATATCAAATTCCTAATATCTTCATTAGTTTTCTGGATCCTTATTAAGGCTTTACCCCTCTTACTGATAATCATGATTTTTGTTTTCTTTATGTTTATTGTTAAATCAAACTGTTCCTCAGTAGCCCAAATTGTATTTAGTAGCGTCCATAGGTCTTTCTTATTTTCAGCGATAATGACTTCTGCATATTCAATGTTATTTATATTTTCATTATTTATCTTGATCCATTCTGTACAGTTTTCAAGTACTCGTGCAAATAACTCTTCAGAATATAATGTAATATATATTCTAGTAATGGTAAAAGTACACAGCCTTGTCTCACTCCTTTACTTATCTGTTGGGCATCCATGCTATTTCCATCTAGTGTTACTACAGCCTGTTGGGTCCAATAGAGATTTCTCTACATCACTTTTGTCGACTACTTTTCGCTTTAGACATGCCACGAGAATGTTATGTTTAACTTTGTCGAAAGCTTTCTCATTGTCTCTAAATGCGACGAAAATATATTTTGATGGTGTCGACATTTTTGAGCAAGCATTGTGGAACTATACAGAGCTTCTACTGTTCCGAAGCCATTACAAACTCTCTATTACTCATATTCGCTTCACACTTTCAGAATATTCTTGCATGTATAACCTTTAAAAATGTTTTCAATAATGGTGACATTAAACTGATTATTTAATGATACCTATTTAATTTACATTTTAGGAAAATTCGGAAATGTTTACTTACGGCCCTATTACTGTTGAGTCAAATGGTATGAGTTTTATGGATTTCCAAATGGTGCTATCATCCGTAGGAGTTAGAGAGGGAGCTTCAGATAAATCCATGTCTTTAGGAACTTGGAATGCAGGTTTCGATAATAATTTAACTCTCGTTGATCCAAAAGCCATGGTTAATTTAACGGCAGATGTTGTCTACAGAATTGTAGTAGTTGAGGTAAGATAAATTTAACTTTTTTTTTATTTTTGAATTAGTTTATTTTAGAATTTGTAGAGTTAAAAATTAAGTTTGGTTATAGTGTATTTTTATGTATGAGAGAGTAATAAAACAATAAATTATGTATGCAAATCCCTAAACTGTTGATACGGGTGACTCAATGAAAAACAGATATTTATCAACAAGTTTACAGAAGTATATAGGAAAACAATTTTAAATTGAGTATGACCACCAGGTATAAAGGTTGGAGCAGAATAGAATACAATAGTTGTGAGGGTTACTAATCCCTTAATAAGGTTGCCAGTGTCGAAGTGATGGAGGTTAACAGATACTAATGAATTTGCAAGAAATGTAAGATGTTTATATAATTGGTTATATATAACCAATAAAAGTTTAATAAGTACCTACCTATTTGCAAAATAAAGTTTAATTCTTTAGATAAAATAAAACGTTTTATTTTATCTGAAATGAATGCATTCCACGAAGTAAGGGTTTCAACAATCAAACATTTAATTCTTTAATTCCAGGAATCTACGACAGTAATTGACTAGATAATTACCTTCTAAACTTATTCCACAGAAAATGTGATAGTGGGTTTTTCCATTTTGTAGGAAGGTCCAAGTGGCGTATTCAAAATTCTTAACAGTTCACTAAAAGTAGGTACTTCAGTTGCAAGGTGCAGTTTATTGTGTATACTAGTGTTATGGAAAATTTGGAAGTACCGTGTAAATGCCGAAAAATTGGTCCTTTAACAGTTAATGAAAAAACATTAATATTTAATTGTTTTAAATCATTTACAGACAAACGTTTATGTGAAAGTGTTGATGAGACCGTTGAGTTAGTTGGCAGTACACTTGGTGTTGGGAAATCTACGATTTACAGAGTTATTAAAGAAGAGAAATGTGGTAGTTTTCAAATGCCACGTAATGCTCCAGGGAAACCAAAATTTCAAATAGAATATCATTTTAAAAAAGGACTTCGACGGAAAGTGCATGAATTCTTCTTTAGACAAGAATTTCCAACATTGGATAAAGTTCTTGTCTCAGTTCGAGATGATAAGGATTACCCAGAAATGAGTTGAAGTACGTTATGGAAACTTTTAAAAGAAATAGGCTTCCGCTGGAAAAAGAATCCCAGAAAGTCTATTTTATTAGAAAGAAGCGATATTGTCATATGGAGAAGACATTTTCTAAGAACCATAAAGGAAATGAGAAACCAAATAAATTTTGGCAGGATGAAACTGTTACAAGTCAAAGGCACGCTTTTGTAAATAACTTATCTACTGGTTTAACCCACCATCAGGAAAGGGACGCAGGCTGATAATAGTACACATTGGCAGTTCAGACGGTTTTGTTGAAGGTGGTTTATTAACTTTTGAATCAACTCGTACCGGTGACTACCATGAAGACATGAACGCTGATGTCTTTCAAGAATGGTTCGAACAAATGATAGATCTTCTTCCTAAGAACTGTGTAATAGTAATGGATAATGCAAGTTATCACTCCAGACTTATAGAAGGACTGCCCACAACCAAGTGGTTAAAAAAAGACTTGCAGAATTGGCTGAGTTCAAAAAATATTACGTACCATCCCGGATCTATAAGAAAGGAACTTTATTCGTTGTGTGCCCTTCATAAAGAAAAATTTAAAAAATACGAAATTAATGAAATTAATTAAATTAAAAAATTAATTAAAAAATACCACTTTTAAAATTCATGATGTTAAACAGTTGTTTTTGGAGGCCGTAAATAATGTAAAACCTGAAAACTGGGAAAAGGCAGTAAATCACAATATTAAAGAAGAGGAAAAAATGTGGAAGTTGGACAATATTACTGATAAAATGATCGAGCCAGTTATTATAAATCTTGGTTCTGAAAGTTCATCTTCTGAATCTGATTTGGATTTGTAACAAGTAGCTGTAAGTTTTATATTAATATTTTTTTTCATCTATTTAACATACTTTAGACGGTTTTAAAAACTCTTTTTCTCTTTTGTAATTTTTAAAAATTAAAAAAAATGTGAATTTTTTAAAACCCTTTTTAATGTAGGCCAGTCAGTTCTAATATAGTGTGTGATAAAAGAGGTCACTTTTGTTTACATACACATAACACTTTATAACACTGAAATAATTCACGCCCATGGAGTGGTCGAAGGTACCAGTTAAAATTATGCTAATTACTCTCTCGTTCATAAAAATAAACTATAATTAAATTATTTTAATAACATAAATTTTATGCCTTGACAACAAATTACACATTTATATAAAATTCCTAAACTTTACCTATACGCAAAAGTGCATCCAGAAAAAGATACGAGGTGTAAAAGCTACAAATTAAAACCGTATTTTTGAATATTGCTTCCAAACAGTCTAAAACAATTTATGAAAATTTCATTTATATTACGTGATAGCCTGCGATGGTCAATAAAACCGAAGTACCGAAAATATTTATTTATCGATTTTTTTAGATCTTTAAAGGAGTTCTCCAAAACCATTTCCCTCCAACTTTTTTGTTGTATAATATTGAATTAAAAACGAGACGTCAATGACATGTTCTTCCAGTGTGCCCTGTGATAATACTTTCCTTCGCCATTGTATAATGTTCATGGTTTTAAGCTCTTTCTCTACATCGTCTATCTACCTTTTATGAGGCCTTCCTCTTGTTCTGCCTTGGGGTTTCCATCTCTGCGATGGCAGATCCTATGTAAAGGTATCCTATATAAAGATAGGCTTTCCATCTTTTCCTAAGTTTTGCCGCGATTTCAGTGTGGTCTACATAAGGGCTTATTAGTGTGCCAAATGTTCTTAAAACGCCTGCTGTATGTATATGTTATACAGGAGGGCGACAAGACTACCTCCTTAGGTACTCCAGCTTTCAAGATACCGTGTTCAGATAGAACTGGTCCTATCTGCACCATGAATCGCTTAGGTACGAGAAGGTGAAATTCGTCATGGTCTCACTGTATCCATAATCTCTCATTTGGTATGTCAGTTTTTCATACCACACTCTATCGAAGGCTTTGAGACTGCTTCTGTATATTGCTAGTTGTTATATCCGGCTGCTATGTTTTCTGTAAGAACTAGTAGTTCGCTGGAATGTTGAGCTCTGAATCTGAATTGTGTTTCTGGAATTAACCCTAGAATCTCCGTCTCTGATTGGAGACTGGTTTGGATGACTCGTTCTGCGATCTTACTGACTGCTATAAGTAAGCCAATCGGCCTCTAATTTTGCTGATATATGTGGTTGTTTCCTGGCTTGGGTATTATGCTTCTTCTTATGGTGCCCTATCCAATTAGTTGGCGACAATTCTGGCATACTCCTCTCGATCTTGTGTGGCTCTAAAAAGTGCATAGGCATCGAGGTTTGTCCAATCCCTTATGTTTTTAAGCCACGAGTATTTCTTTCTTCCGATGCCTCGTTTTCCTTCTATCTTCCCTTCCATAATAAGCTTTCAGAACTGGTACTTAGAATTTCGAAATATATGACCCAGATAAGCAGTTTTTCTTCTTTTTATTATTGGCAGCAATTCTCGTTCTCTGCCCATTCGATTAATACCTCGACATTTGTTGTGTGATCTATCCAGGGAATTTTAAGTAGTCTTCTACATACCCACATTTCAAAGGCCTCCAATCGGTTCATCAGATTGGTCTTTATGGTCCAGGTTTCTACACCATATAGCAGTATGGAGTAAATGTAACATTTTACAAAGCGATATCGAAAAGTTGAGGCTGCTGTTGCTTAGCAAGGTTCTCATATTGGTAAATGCTGTTCTGGCTTGCTCAATCCTGCTACGTATCTCTATGTCTGGATCTAGATCTTCAGTTATCCAACTACCGAGATATCTGAACTTTGGGACCTTTTGGATGTTCTTCTTGTTTACTCTTATATTTAATTGTATATTTCGTGTTCTACTAACCACCATTACCTTCGTCTTATCTATATTAATCTTCAAGCCCAGTCGTTCTCCTTCGGTGTTTATTTTTAAGCGGTATTATGCTTACATGAGCTTTCTTTCATCGGTTTGGGAAGAGATTGTATTTTAGTATTGCGTTGGTTATATTTGTCAGATATACAATTGCTTTTAAAGGAAGATACTTTAGAGCTTTGTTAGTGATTTTGTCTGGACCAAGTGCTTTCTTTGGTAAACTTTTTCTGATCAGTTCACTTATTTCTCTTGGCGATGCAGGATTTATTATTTCTTCTTGTTGTTTGGGCGTTTCTAGTTCAGTTTCGTCGACTTCTTCATCCTAATGATAACTCAGTGTACACACCCTCTCTCTCTCTCAAGAGTCCTTCTTATTATCTCAACTTTCTCTTCTCTTCTTATTATCTACAAAGTGGATAATTTCGTTCTCTCCATGTAGTGGAAAATGGGTTTTCTATCGTTTCTTAAAGACTTAATGAGAAAATTGGAAGCTTTTGAGATGTTGCTTTTCAGGAGAATTTTGAAGATACCATGGACCGATCATATTACAAACGAAATGGTGTTGCATAAAATGGGAAGAGACAGAGAACTTTTGACCACCATTAAAAGGCAAAAGACAGCATATTTGGGGCACATACTTAAAAATGATACGTACGAGTTGTTACAGCTGATTATGAAGGGTGAAATCAAAGGAAAAGGTGGTCCTGGTAGACGACAAATATCCTGGCTAAAAAACATTCGCGACTGGACTGAGTTTAACACACAGCTTTGAAGCTTCCATATTTTTTGCATATTTTGACCCCCTTCCCACATTTCTTTAAAGTAATTGACCCACTTTTGACTTCTATGTTCTATTAGTGCGTTTTTATTTGCTGATTGATGTCTCTAAATCTTTCCACGTGAATTTCATATTCTTCTTCAGTAGTGCTATTCCTTAGTGCTTCTTTTATGATGTTTTCAAACTATAGGACGTTTACCTCTATTTCTTGTGGATTGTCAATTATAGGAACGTTTCCAATTCATATGCTTACTAGTCATTTGAAGTTAGACCACTTTGTTTTCTTTATTTTCATGTTGTTTTGTTATCTTCTTCCTATGTGCCTATTTTTAGGAGTATAGGCTTGTGGTCTCCTGATCCTTCGTTTAAGGTTTGGTTGTCTGTTTGTAGACCTAGGATTTAGTTACTACTATATCCAAATGAGTTGGTACAGAATTTCCTGAGAAGTATTTTGGTTCGATGGACCCAATTACCACGGTGTCTACGTTGTTCACTCTTGTTGTTGCTGTATAGTTTATTCATTTTCTCGCCAAGATAGCAGTTCTTCCTGCATTTGCTCTGTAGTAGTTCTTTTTTAAATAATGTAACCCTACTATATTACCCGAATATTTTTTAGCAACAACCATTTATCTTCAGAGATGAAACTGCCCCAAAACAGTTTAATGGCTATTGTATCGACCTGATAAATAAAATAGCAGAAATTTTAAATTTTGATTATGAGCTTATAGCTGTCGATAAATTTGGTACTATGGACGAAAACGGTAAATGGGATGGTATGGTTAAAGAGCTAATTGAAAAGAGAGCAGATGTAGCATTAGGTTCGATGTCAGTTATGGCGGAAAGGGAAAATGTTATCGATTTTACAGTACCTTATTATGATCTGGTAGGAATAACAATTTTAATGAAGTTACCTGAAACACCAACAAGCTTATTCAAATTTTTGACAGTATTGGAAGACGATGTATGGTTATGTATATTAGCAGCATATTTTTTCACAAGGTAAGAACCATCATGTACTTTTGTATTAAATAATTATTTATTTATGTTTATTTCCAAAAGAATAAATATTTCTTTTGGCTTAAGTTGGTAACCATATCCTTCTGGCACAAGTTTTTATAGAAGTCTTTATTTGTGAATTATGATTAATATCATACTAACTTTAGTATTAACTGTTAGATCCATCCATATTTTACTCCTCTATTCCGGCTTCTATATGCATTAAGCCTCGAGCTGGAACCCCACATTACCATGCGTATAGTTCTCCTACCTAACCGGTTATATTTTTAACATATCTTCATTTTAAGATTGCAAAAGATACCAAAAATTAAAACTCTTGTAATTGTTAAGTATAAATATTTTCTTTTAAACTGCGTAATAACTAGACTTAGGCAAATATGCCAAAAAAATTAAAAACTATGCGCATAAATATGCACTAATTTATCCGAAAATATGCATTAAATATGCATTTCCTTTAGAAAATATGCATTAAGTATGCATTTTTTTTAGAAAATATGCATACTGTCAATGGAAACATATATTAAATAATAAGGTGTATTAATTATTGTTTATTTTAATAATTAGAAAACAATATAAATAAATTTAAAAATTAAGTAGGTAATTGCTATGTTCTAATTAATTGTCATGAAAGTAGTAAAAAAGTAAAATACTATTCTTTAGAATTATGGAAGCAATAAATGATCAAATGTTTTTCAAAATTTTCCAATAAAAACTTATGGCTTCTATCTGTGTATACCTATATACTTTTTGTGAATTGAGAAACATTTTGCTTATCGATGGATGTAATAGAGCATATTTTAAATTCGCAAAAATATTTGGTTTTAAATATATTACTTCACCAAAATTCTCAACATGAATTTCAACTACCTCAGTAAGTTTCTGAAAACCCTTTTTTTAAATATTTTTTTAATATATTTTTATTTCAAATTAAAAAAAAATATATTTTCCAATCTCACCTTAAACATTTTGACAAGCTATCCAATATCTTTTTTGTAAAAATATACTTTTTAATAGTAAAAGTAATTCAATATTCATCTACCAGTGTGCATTTTGACAAACAACTAATACTAACTGGGCAATGGTATATATAGCGACCGGTAAAAACAATTACAAAAATAAAAAAAAAATACTTTTTTTTAGGAATATAAAAAAAAACTAAATACAAGGATATTTTAAATTTATTATCTAAGAATTTTCTATCTATTATGGTAAGGTGCAAAGCAGTCTCTGCACAGAGCGACGTTACAAACTTGACAAATTAAATTGCTCCGCGTTTGTTTCTTTTCAGATGAAGCACAAAGGGCACAGCGCCTATAAGTTCCTTTGGTGGGTAAGTGTGAACCAGCAGTCAAAGTTGAGTTTGATGAAGGTCCAGACTTTTTTCTGAAAGTAAAAGTTCTAATCAAACTATTTGCTAGTTCACTGCGGAACTGTAATACAGCCATAGGCTTAGTATTTGAGTTATTATTTTTTTCAGAGTCTCCTTATATAAAATATAGCTGTTTACTATTGCTGCGTCTAAAATATAGAAAAATATTTTTACCCATCTTCTTCTTATGGTGCCCTATCCAATTAGTGGATGTTGGCGACAATTCTGGTATACTCTCCTCGATCTTGTGTGGTTCTAAAAAGTGCATGGGCATCGAGGTTTGTCCAATCTCTTATGTTTTTAAGCCATGAGTATTTCTTTCTTCCAATGCCTCGTTTTCTTTCTATCTTCCCTTGGAATCTTGGAATTTCGAAATATATGACCCAGATAAGCAGTTTTTCTTTTTTTTTTTAATTATTGGCAGCAATTCTTGTTCTCTGCCCATTCGATTTAATACTTCGACATTTGTTGTGTGATCTGTCCAAGGAATTTTAAGTAGTCTTTTAAATATCCACATTTCAAAAGCCTCCAATCGGTTCATCACATTGGTCTTTATGGTCCAGGTTTCTACAAATATAGCAGTATGGAGTAAATGTAACTTTTTACAAAGCGATATCGAAGCGTGAAGTTGAGGCTGCTGTTGCTTAGCAAGGTTCTCATATTGGTAAATGCTCTTCTGGCTTGCTCAATCCTGCTACGTATCTCTATGTCTGGATCTAGATCTTCAGTTATCCAACTACCGATATATCTGAACTTTGGGACCTTTTGGATGTTTCTATTGTTTACTCTTATATTTAATTGCATATTTTGTGTTCTACTAACTACCATTACCTTCGTCTTATCTATATTAATCTTCAAACCCAGTCGTTCTCCTTCAGTGTTTATTTTATCTATTAGTCGTTGTATCGCTTCTTGGCTATCAGCTATTGTGACAGTTATTTTACCCACCAACGTCTTGATTTCCATGCGGAGGAGTAGTTAGCATGACATTGATCGAATAGATCCACTCCACCCTTGTGTTTGTTATAATCGGCGGAATATATAAACCGGAAATAGAGATCCAGTACCATGTCTTCAGGCAATTCTATTGCCTGAAGACATGGTACTGGATCTCTATTTCCGGTTTTGTTTGTTCTCAATACCTGCGTTTTTTCTTGAGAATTCTGTAGATGACTGACAACACTAACACATTTTACGCCTCCACTTATACACAAATATTTTCCCAGAACCAACCGAATCTGACAGATTTTGGGAAAGCTCTTTATCAAAACATAATATTTGTTTTGGAAAATATTTTCTTGTTTTCCGTACAGTGCCACAAGCAAGTTTTCTTTTTCAGTAGTTTCTGCATTAGTGGTAGTGTGGTGAAAAAATTAACAAAGTATACGCAATAACCATGATTTTGATACTTCGACGAAAGTTCCAAAACAACACGTTCTCCTAACATATCGGACGTTGATTAAGTAGCTTTTCCTTGATATATTTGAAAATTCAGAAGGTATACCGTTTTAGCACATGCCAATACCCAAATTTTAAAGCCTCTTTTTATTGGTTTCATTGGCATGTACTGTTTTAGTGATGTACGCCCTTTGAAAGCACGCATGCTTTCGTCAATAGATAAATGTCTATATGACGTAAAAACATTTTGAAAGGTCTCTGAAATATGGTTTATTAGTGGTTTAAGTTTGTAGAGCTTGTTTAGTTTTTGATTGGGGCATACTTTTATTATTGTTTAGATGCAAAAATCTCAAGACTTTAAGGAACCTTTTTAATGTAAATGATTTAGTCATACGTTCAACATAAAAGTTTTCAGTGCTGGATCAGTATGACCTTATTGTTGGAAGACTGTGGAATCACATGACTATAAGTATTCCCAAGAAAGCGTCGAGTTCTTCCATATCCATAAAAAGTTGCGAGTTCTTCTGGGTAGCGTAGAGGTTCGATTCTTTGGAAATTGTTTGACAGATACTCTCACTAAAGAAAACTCTGAAGAAGTCGATTGGCTTACTCGAATTAATGTCAACATTAACGCTTGAAGACTTACTTGTTGTGTTTGAAACCAAATCCATCATCTGGATCAAAGTCAGGATCTTGATCTGAATCATCAAAATCTTCATTTCCGCTAGAATTATTGGTATTTCTTGTAAGAGTACATTGGCGCACTCTTTTCAAGTGCTATACTGAAGAACTGGAGCATGTCGGCTGGCTGTCGATACTAAAGTTTATTTCATTAAGCGATGCAGAGCATATAAACAACGATAAATTTAACAGATAATTGTTAAAGATGTTCCAAATGAGTCTACTCGTTCCGATAAGTAACAGTATAATTCTGACATTTTTTAATTTTTTTCTTTTCTCAACCATTAGTATTTATTGCATAGTAAATAAATTATTGTTATCACTGAATACATAATAAGTGAAAATAATCCGATTTATAAAATTAATGAATATTTTATGCATACATGCAAGTAACATTTCTTCAAGAATATTTAAAAACTAACTGAAATGTCCATCTTTATTTAGTTACTGCCGACCATCGAGCAAAAAGACAAAAGAGGGAAATGAACTATTGGAGTCTTCTGGACTTTATTTCTTTTATGATGTTGGCGTCTGGGTAAAGTTCTTCGAGCCCTTTGTTAGTTCTTATCGTATATTGTCCTGATGCTTCATCCAGCACAGGACCAAAGATCTCTCTTAGGATTTTTCTTTCCCAAACACATAGTCTCTCTTCGTTTGCCTTTGTTATTGTCCACGTTTCGCTTCCATACATCACAACGGGTCGTATGATTGTTTTATAGACCTGTATCGTCGTACGTCGTGTTAGTTGTTTGGATTTTATCAGGTTTTGGAGGGCAAAAAGACATCTGTTACCGGCCTGAATCCTGTTGTTTATTTCTTGTGATCCGTTATTGTCTTCAGTTATTGTTGTTCCAAGATACTTGAATTCTCTAACGCGCTCGAAGTTAAAGTCATCTATGGTGATACTCTAACCGATTCTGTCTCTGCTTTGGTTATTGCGGCTCATATACATATATTTCGTCTTGTTTTCGTTGATTTGGAGCCCCATCTTCTCTGCTTCCTTCTCGAACCTCACGAAAGTCTCCTTCATCCTTAATCGTGTGTTTCCTATTAGATCGATATCGTCTGTAAATGCCAGTAGTAAGTTTGATCCTTCTCGGTGAAATACTGTATTAGGTTTTTCGATTCTTGCACTTCTGATTATGTGCTCCAGAGCTAAGTTGAAGAGTTGTGGTGAAAGTGCATCTTCCCGTTTTAGTCCATTGTTTATTTCAAATGTCTCCCAATATTGTTGTCTAACTCTCACCTTACATCGTAACCGTTCCATACACATCCGTTTTAACCTGACTAGTTTTTTTGGAAAGCCAAGTTACTGCATCGCTGTCCACAGTCTGTCCCTGCATACTGTATCAAATGCTTGTTTAAAATCTATGATCATCTGATGAAGCTCACGATCAAACTCCCAGCATTATGCTTGAGATGCTGAATGTGCTCCTTGGATGCGCGTAAGGTTCAAGCCTCGAAGACCAAAGTGCGCTCAAGTGGCTTATTATCTATTTTTCTATTTTGACATTTTCCTTGTGTGGCTTCCAGTATCTCAATATATCCGAACCATGCCAGACTTAAGGTACAATTCCTTTTTCTTTTCATTGTACATAATACATCCTTAACACCAAGTCATGTTTCGACACGGAATACGAAACATTCTCGGAAGGACTGATCTTCTATATAGAAGTGTAGAAAATAAGTCCGGAGTCCGGAAGTATATGTAAAGCAACAAAAGTTTACATTTTTATACATGTTTCTTTCAGCTCATTATACATCAATACTGCAACATACACTTTTGATTACTTTTGTAGTTTGCTATTCTTTTTGTATGAAACTTACGCCTTAACCTTTGTAGTTTTATTAATACACAGTATTATCTGTATTCTACACCACATTCCATAGGACGTAGTTTTATTATCCAATTTTCTGTGTTATAGAGTAATGTGGAAATGTTTACACGATGGCATAATCTTGGAATATTATATTATGTAATAATATTCTGTATTTTGAGTCTATCCGGCTATTGACTAACGCTTCATCAATTGCCTATAGTTCCACACTATCAAAGACTTTTCGTCACTACCTAAGTGATACTTTTATACTATTTTTTGTAAGCTACAGTTTCTTTGAGTTCTTTTGGTTTAAATTTTTTTAACCATTTTTAGTTCCAATAATTATTTAAATTTTAGTTTTCTAATGTGGGTATTCGATCGATGGTCCCCATACAGCTATCAAAACAACCGCGAGAAGTACAAGGACGATGAAGAAAAAAGAGAATTTAACTTAAAGGAGTGCCTCTGGTTTTGCATGACATCGTTAACACCACAAGGAGGCGGAGAAGCACCGAAAAACTTATCTGGAAGATTAGTAGCGGCGACATGGTGGTTGTTTGGATTCATTATCATTGCTTCGTACACTGCTAATTTAGCCGCCTTCTTGACAGTATCACGATTGGACACTCCAATAGAATCTCTGGATGATCTCTCTAAACAATATAAAATTCAATATGCACCTTTGAATGGATCTGCTGTTCAGACGTATTTTGAAAGAATGGCTAATATTGAGGCAAGATTTTACGAGTAAGTATAAAAAAAATCTTTTTTTCAATCCATAGTGTTGAATGATTAATCACATATACTCGTATTGCTATTTTTTTGAATAGGATTTGGAAAGATATGAGTCTCAACGACAGTTTGACAGAGGTTGAAAGGTCAAAACTCGCCGTTTGGGACTATCCTGTAAGTGACAAATATACTAAAATGTGGCAAGCGATGAAAGAAGCTGGATTACCTAATACCTTGGACGAAGCTGTGGGAAGAGTGAGAAGTTCTAAGTCATCCAGTGAAGGATTTGCCTATCTTGGTGATGCTACTGATATAAGATACCTTGAAATCACGAATTGTGACCTTACTACTGTCGGTGAAGAATTTTCTAGAAAACCATATGCAATTGGTGTTCAACAAGGATCGCCATTAAAGGATCAATTTAACACAGCGTAAGTAAAATATTAATAAAATAAAAATAAAATAAACAATAAAGAGAAAGTGTCATTTTAAGAATTTCTTCATTTTAAGGAATAAGTCCACAGGGCTGAGTGTGGCGGGTAGGGGACAAGAATGAAGATATGTCCCTCACTTTCAGAGCGCTGAATAACTCACAGAATTATGACAATTCTTAGCATATAAATAACAAAGAAATCATTATTTTATTACACCGCAATTGCTAGATTCGTGATCTCTTCGCAGAACTATCTTCATGTTTTCTTTTTATAAAAGTCTTCTTCTTCTTCTTCTTTTTTATAAGCAAAATGCTTGTTCAATGTCGATTAATGCCTCTATTGGAGGTTATCACTCCATCTTTTGCGTGGTCGCCCGATACTTCTTCTACCTTTTGGTGATTTGTCCCTCGCTATTCTTTTATAAACACTTTTTATAAAAGTGATTGGTAAATTTTTTAAAGCCTTTTGTATTCCTCCTAATTACAATTTTTCGCTCTGTTGGCGGTTCTGCGTGCACTAGCCTTTAATTTTGCTAATTCCTTGTTCCTTTTGATGGAATAAGCCTCCTTAATTTTGTATGATTCAACCAACGTGAGGTTGTATAGAGAATTTGTTTCTGTATAAACACCAGTATGTACATCGGTACACGAAAGGATTGGTCTTGCTCACGCTTCCCCTCAACCTTGAAACGCAGGATTCTGTGATCCGACATTGAAAGCCTGTCAGAAACGTGCCTTTGTCAATAATGTTACAAGAAGACAAATATTCAGATAAAACAATAGTTGCTCACCTCATTTGTTTGTGTCTGTGCTACCCCATACAATACATTTGTGTGTATATGGTGATTTGCATCATGTCCAATAATAAGCTGTCTGCTATTTCTGTTGCACTAGCTGATAAGCTTTTTAACGTTTTCTGGTGGACGGTTATTTCTGTTACCAAAATAATAAATAGAGCCTATTAAATTATAATATGCCTAGTAGGCGTGCTCTTGGTATATCAGGCATTTGTGAAAGGATCAAATTTCATGATTTATTTGGCAGCTCTTTAACAAGTTTTTGTAAGCTCAAGGCTTTTAAATTCATTTTACTTTTTCTTTTTTATTTTTCTTTGAACCTTTGTAATTATTGCAACTCTCCCTATTATTTGCGGCTTTGCTAGTGAACTTTGTTGTAGGTCTGACCAAATTTGTAGTTGATATTATAGCCATGTTTCTTTAAGGCCTCTGTAGATATAGAATTCAGTTCTATCAGGGCATTGATCCATTTCTCGTAAAGTTCTCTAGTTCTTAGTATAATATCATCATTCTGTGCCTCTGAAAATCTTGATTGTTGGATTTTTCAGAATTACAGGAAGATAAGGCACAAGAAGTTTGCGTAAGGTAGCGGCTTTCTCCTCTATTTTGTCCAGAATTATTTATTTTATGGATATATATTATCCCACTGAAAGAGAAGTCTCCGAATAGTTTTGAGTCAAAATTTATATCTCTACGGCTTTTACCGCTTGTCTGCAATATGACTGATTGTCTCCAGTGATTATTTTACCAATTCCAACGTCTTCCTCCCTAAGCTGAGCTTTTCGGGTGTTTCGCTCAGAACGGACATTCTTTCATTCTTTGCCTTTCCCTTCAACCCATTCTGATTTTTATGTCTTCTGGATGGGCTTCAGGGTCTGCTGCCGAGGCTTATTTCCATCAATTCCTTATTTATTCACAAACTTAAACCTTCTCCTTGCTATGCTATTGAAGCTCACTCGTTTGGACCTCTTTCGGTACTTGTTGAGCTTTGTTAGAGTTTTTTGATTAGAGAAACTCCGGTTTATCTTTGGTAATATGGCTTGGAATTGATTTCAGTCGAGGTGAGATATTGAAAAATTAAGGTGTTACAGATTCATAATTCATAGTCCAAAAGTAATATTTTACATTGCGTTATTGTTTTAATTACAATTGTTTACAATCAGAATCGGGGACACTTGCAAATAATAAAAGCGTGGCCTTGTTTATTGTTTCCATAACAAAGCTGACTTATTGACCGATTCGTCATAGGTGGTATGATATAAACAGAGTAGATGAGGAATCCAAACATGATGAGTTCGTTAGTAAATCATAATAGTTCGTTAGTAATATCATCGATACGCTATTCCGTATGCATATAAGTAAACAATAAACGAGATACATCACAGTTTAATATATTTAATATCCTCCAATAAGTGAAGTGACATATCACAGCTAAAGGGTATGCAACTAGAGGAATTAAACGATAAAATAACAACAGAACTACTAGAAGCAGGCCTGTAGATTGCTAATAAACAAAAGCGAAAACAACAAAAAATTAGCGCTAAATCACAAGATGTGCTAAAAAAACGACGACAACTACTGAATGATAACAAAAGAAATACAGTGGAGTATACCGAACTGAATAAAACCATAAGAAAACAGATAAAGGAAGATTTAAAGAAATACCAAGAAGACCGCATTAAGAAAATCATAGAGAAGAACAAAAGTTTAAAAACAATGAAGACAAATATAGGAAAAAGAAAACTAATCATACTTAGAGCTGAGAACAATCAAGAAAGAGATCTAGGAGAAATAGTAAAAATCACAGAAAGATATTACACAGACCTATACAGTTCTAAAAATGACCCACCACTATCATCTAAACAGAATCTCACGAGGAAAATACAAAATGTTGGCTCAGAGGTATTACAAGAAATAACTGAAGATGAAATCGAAAAATCCATAAACGACATGAAAAGAAATAAAGCGGCCGGTGAGGACAAAATACTGGCGGAACTGCTAAAAGAAGGAGGAGACACGATAAAAAAAATGCTAAAAATACTGTTCAACAAATGTCTGTTTGAAGGTAAAATACCCAAACAATGGAGAAATGCCAACACAATCTTAATACATAAGAAAGGAGACCGAACAGACCTAAACAACTACCGTCCTATTTCCCTTTTGTCACAACTATATAAAACCTTCACAAGAATAATAAACAACCGACTAACCTATAAACTTGATAACTACCAACCAGTGGAACAGGCCGGATTCAGAAAAGGATACAGCACAATCGACCATCTACATACGCTTAAAATTTTAATTGAGAAAACCAATGAATACAACCTTCCGCTGTACTTAGCATTCGTAGATTATGAAACGGCTTTCGACAGCATTGAACACTGGGCGGTTGAAGAAGCTCTGGTCAATAGTAGAATAGATTCAAGATACCGACAATTGATACATGATATTTACCAAAACGCAACCATGACCGTAATTCTGGACGACAAATTAATAACGGATAATATAAAAGTTAAACGAGGAGTCCGACAAGGCGATATAATTTCACCTAAACTGTTTACCTTGACCCTCGAAGACATATTAAAATCAACAGATTGGGAAAACAGAGGAATATGTATTAACGGAAAATACCTAAATCACCTTAGATATGCGGATGATATACTCCTGATCTCCTCGGAACGACAAGAACTGGAATTAATGCTGAATGAACTTCATGAAAAATCACTGCAAAAAGGCCTAAAAATTAACTTCAACAAAACAAAAGTAATGACAAACACGGAAGACCAAGAGGCAATAAAAATAAAAACAGAAAAAATAGAACAGGTAAATGAGTATATCTAGGACAAGCAATCAGAGCTAATAGAGAAAATCAAACAGCCGAAATATCGAGACGAGTAACAATGGGATGGGCAGCGTTCGGCAAACTTTCTTACGTTCTAAAAAATCAAACAATCCCTCTATACTTACGAAGCAAGGTATATAACTCCTGTATCATACCGGTGCTCACCTACGGAGCACAGACATGTACATTTACACAGGCCAATTTGGATAGGATAAGGAAGGCACAAAGAGCGATGGAGAGACAAATGTTGGGTGTATCACTTAGAGATAGAAAACGTAACCAGTGGATCAGAACCAGAACAAAGACAGTAGACGCGATAGAACAAGCAGCAAAACTGAAGTGGAAATGGGCTGGACACAATGAACGTCTCCAAGACGGACGATGGAACAATGCCATCGGAAAGTGGCGTCCATACAATGCAAAGAGATCAAGAGGTAGACCACAGATGAGGTGGAAAGATGACATCAGGAAACAAGGAGGTCCCACATGGCAGAGAACAGCTCAATATAGGGAAAGATGGAGAGAACTGGGGGAGACCTATATCCAACAATGGAAGGATAGAGAATAGGTTAAAAAAAAATAAGTGAAGATGTGGTTCCATAAATAAGTATCGCCAATCCATTTAGGCAATAATATGGTGCCGACACAAGGCTTACAATACGACAAGAATAGTTCTATATTTTCCTGGTATTTATGAATAAGGCTACAATATCGCTCTTGGTAATTTTTTTATGAGATGCTAGGGAATGGATGAACAGGAGGATTTACCGGGAGGAGGCTAATAAAACCTAAGTTACGCATGATACTCGGAGTCCTCATGGTAGCAACGTCTTAGCCCTGCAGAGTAGTTTTAGCGCTGCGCCAAGCATTCGGCCTGTACTGTTTTACTAATGCCTTTTTTCTGTAGTCCCATCCTCTAGGTCGGCCAATTAAGGCAAGTACTCACATGCTTGTATACAGACTCGGTACTTCGTATGTATTAATATCGTAACTCTTCGTCGCAGGATGTTTAGTTCTTCTCTTTCTTTTTAATTTTTTTTGCTAACCGCCTACAACTAGTTTGTTGTCTCCTAGTTACGTCAGTGTTTGTTGATATTTTGTATTAAACGATTTGATATTTCAATAGGCACCCTTAGGCCTTTAGATCAGGTGCTAGGGTGATTTAAAAATGTTCCTTCTTTATTTATTTATCCTGACTTGTGGACCAACAACAGTAGTCTTGCAATAATGCACCAACAATTATAGTGATTAATTTGTCCAAGTAAGTTTTAGTAAGCGGCAAAAAATTTACAGTTTCAAAACTTTTAATCTGTTGTATTGGTATTCACAAGATTACACGTTAACAAATATTGTGTTCTATTTTTAATAAATCTTGCTTTAGTATTTTGCAGTTACTGAACAGAAGAGAACTAGAACGACTTAAAGAAAAGTGGTGGAATAAACATCCAGAGAAAAAAGATTGCGAAAAAGTTGAAGATCAATCCGATGGTATCAGTATTCAGAATATTGGAGGAGTGTTTATTGTTATTTTTGTTGGCATTGGATTAGCTTGCATTACTCTAGCTTTCGAATATTGGTGGTACAAATACAGGTAAATAGAAAACCCAAAATAATAAAATTATTAATATTATTTTATAATAACTAATAATAATAAGTAGTTTAACACTAAAATTATACAACGACATCTCACCGCCTGTGTTTTTTTTCAATCCTCCTTATTTTCAATGCTCCAATACCAATCTAATGTTTATCGTCCCTACGTCTCATCTCTTCCATAGCATTTTTCTTTCTTGACTGACTTAAACTTCTTTGAATTGGGCATTTATGTGCTTTAAACTCGACTAGCTAGCACTATTGACTTTAGTTATAATACTGCACTCCCTATAAAGCTTACTGAGCTCTCCATTTGTTGTATATGCCATTGTTCTAAATCACTTATCGTCCCTTAGATTCTTCTTCATCACACAGCCCTTTGCGTGATGAAGGCATTGCTGGACATAGGCCTTCCTCATTTTTACCCATTATGCTCTATCTTGAGCACTTTTCATCCAATTTCTTGACATGTTCTTCTTGAATGAGATCCTCTGTCCAACAAATAGGGGTCTTTATCTACTTCTTTTGTTTAACCTCGGCTACCACTCAAACAATCTCTTCTTCCAAAGTTCACCACCTATTCGGGCGAAGTGTCTGACTCAGTTCCATTTCAGTGTGGCAATTCGGAAATTACATCGGTAACTCCTGTTCTTCGTCTGAAGTCTTCATTTCTAACTTGCTCACGAAATATACTCAGCATTGACCTTTCCATTTTACTCTAAGCTATTTTCAGCTTTTTAGAAGTTTTAGCTGTCAATTGTCAAAGTTTCGAGATCATAGGTCATCATAGTTGTTTACGTTCTACTTTTTAAGGAAATTGGTATATCGCTTTTAAAGATGATTTTTACAATTAAAAAAATTACATTAGTCTCGGAACACACCTATACCTAGTCACGTTCAGCTGTCTTACTTAAATTATATTCCTGTCACTTCAGCCAGTTGGTCTGTGTCGTTTTAACTGACAAGTACCCCGTATTAAAAATCGAGCAGGGAGACATGTAGTCCCTACAGGAATAAAAGTTTTATTCATTGTCATCGATCTAGAGTCACCAGATAATTAAGATTTAAAATTTGGAATGATGTAAACCCATACATGGAGGTCAAAGCCGTAACTTTATTGTTAGCTTCAACTACACAAGGCACTGAGGATGATCTGTTCAGATCGAAAACGTTATGCAAGTACATACATTTCTTAAAAAGTTTTAACTATGTGTTTTTATACCAAAATACAAGTCTGAAGTGTTTTAACTTCTGTGTTTTTTTAAAGGATGGTATACAGCCAACTACTGGGATTTTCCCATTAATTTTTATTTTAGATGTCTTTGAGTTTTCCATAGGTTGCCCATGCTAGGTTTATTCTTCTTCGTAGTTCGCATGTTTGGTTTTCTCTTGTGATCTTTATTTCCTGTCCAAGGTATATGCATTTTTTCACCAGCTCTACTTCGTTGTCTTCAATATTAATATTTTCGTTAGGTACCAGGTTGGCCATAAATTTTGTTTTGGAAATGTTTATTTTAAGACCCACACCGGCACACACTAACTAGAGTTCATGTAGCATTGTACATATCTCCTTGAGGATGTCTTTCTCTTCCCAGTTAAGTTTTTTACAAGCGTGTTCTAGTACTGCAGTAAACAGTTATACAAGCGATAAAGTATCACCCTGTCGGACTCCTCTGCCGATTGGGATACGATCCGTGTTTATGTAACCTTGTATATCGGTAGTCAATGCGGTATGCTTGTAGTGCTTCCACGATTTTGTTAAATTCTGCCGTATCAAAGGCTTTATAAGAATCTACAAAAGCCAGAACGAGTGGTCGATTGTATTCGATATTACCGTTTTGATGCTCTGTAGGCGATCATTTGTCCCAAATCCGGTACGAAATACTTCTACTACTGAAAAGTTTTTTCTCAAGTCGATTCGTTAATATTTTTGTAAGAAGTTTGTATGTATATGTGACTAAGAAGACTTACAGGTCTGTAGTTTTCTAATTCATGGAAATCTCCTTTTTTATACAATAGAATTACCTTAGCATTGTGCTATTTGTCGGGTATATTACCATCCAAAAGGCACATGTTAAAAAGGTTTTTTTGTTTTCTTTAATAGGCAAGTGCCTCCTATTTTGATTGCGTCAGTAACTACGCAATCTTTGCTTAGAGATTTGTTATTCTTAGCTTTTCTTAGGACTAGTTTTATTTTGTCTATTGTGATCTCCGCTAGTAGTTCTGATCCTTGGTTGACAATGCCCTTTTTCTTGGTAATATTTCTGGTACTTGATCTTCTCTCCTATTTGCTTTGTGTTGGCTTGTGTACAGCAATTTGTAGAAGTCTTCAACTATTTTAAGGGTTTCCTCTCTGTTGTAATTTCTATCTTGAATCTTTAGTGCCTGCCTTGCCCCCGTTTTTAGTATTTTTCTCAATACTTTCCTACTTCTATTGTTCTCAATGGTATGTACGATTTGTTCTTGATTGTATTTCGAGAGTCTTGTTAATTTGTGACATTTGTCTGAAAGGCATTTGTTAATTTGTGGCACATGTGACCACGGGTCTACTTACTTGTAAACAGAACATAAACATTTAAAACATTTTATTTAAAGTTTATTTATTTTATGTTTCATTTTAAATATAATTTTAAATTTATTTTTCAGAAAGGGTGGTAGAATTCTCGATGTTCAAGAAGCACCACCACCAAACAAAACGACAAATTTTGCGGGTGAGCTGCCATTTACCAAAACGAAGTCATTGGATAAACCGGGCGTTCAACCTAAAAATCCCATGTTTCCGAGGAATAGGTTTTAAATCTATAAGATCTTGTGTATTTGCACATTGAAATGCTGTTTTAAGCAGTTGTTTTTGGTACCACGTCAAGTTTTTTGTGCACTTCAATTTTTATGAAAAATTGCAGTTTTATTTTACAGTGTAGCATTCTGGTGTTATAATCGTTGTGGCAATAAAGATGCGTGATATTATTTTCTGAACATTCTACGTACTTCATTATTTGTTTTAATATACCCATAAGTATTTTATAAAATAGATATGTTAAAATAAAATTATAAGTGAGGAATAGAAGGACTAAATACCGAATCCACAGATACTTATACAGAAGCAGAGTATCAGAGAAGTTTGCTGTGAATGAAATATTAGGAAACGATACGATCAAGAAAAGCTGGGAAAAATTAAAAAATAACATAATTACCGCAGCAATACAGTCACTTGGAGAGACGAAAGTAATGAACACCTCATGGTTTAGAGAGAAAGTGAAGACGAAATGAAAAGAAAGGAAAAAAGCCTTTTTACAATGCAGAACACAACAACTACAACATACATACAACTACTATAAACGAATCAGAAATAAAACTAATACTTTGCTCAGAGAAATTAATAAACAGGGAACACTGGCAGAGCTTCCCAAAACGCATGAAACACGGCTTCTACGAAACACAAAAACAAATTTCGAGAATGATCAGAGGACAAAGAAAAGAGAAGAACAAACTAATAAAAACGAAACGCATCCAGAAGGAAACATAAGCAGACTAACTTCGATTCTTATTTGCTAAAGGTGATATCAATACCAGAATTGACGACAAATTGACGTCAGGAGAGGACAGAATACCGAATGAACTTCTAACGTGCGGAAAACTAGATCTTATCAAACATCTATTAGAACTAATCCAAAAAGTAATAAAACAAAACATAATATCACAAGAATGGAGATCAATCATCGTAAAGCTCTAAAGCAACACAACAAAAGTAAAAGTAGAAGAAGAACTAACTAACCCAATTGATGCTGGCAATGTCTTCTATCCTCTATTGTTCAACCTGCCCACGGATAAAATAATAAAAAAGTAAGAAATAAAAAAGGATACCAAATGGGACAAAAATCTCTTAAAATAATCTACTATGCAGACGACGCACTACTGCTACTCTCTTAAAGTGAAAATGATTGCCTGTGCTGCACCAATTGAATATAACCGCCAGGAAATTTAGCATGTTAATTTCCCCAAAAAAGGCAAACTGCATGGTTATAACAGAAAACTTACTAAGATGGAAATTGGAGCTGGAAGGTCAGATAACAAAGGCAGACATGATTTTTGCTGTTTTGAGTTTGACATGTGTCCTTAGCTAATACGGGTACGCTGATTTTAAATGTTAATTAGGTTTAAGCCTATCACGTCAAAATTTTTCACAAAATTAAAAAAACTTTGTGAAATGTTTGTAGCATCGAGTTTTATTTTATTTTATGAGTGTTTATCGCGCAATAATGTCATTAGGAAAGAAGACGACTGCTACTTTGGCTCCTGCGATATCCAGGGTTTCAATTCAAAAAATAAACACAAATCTCAATATCCTGATTTACCTTCTGCTAAACGACCTGTATCTCATGGACCAGGAATCCCTATTCCTCTACCTTTTCTTCACACCATCCAACAGCAATCATTAGATAAAAGTTCAGACGAAGTAACCGATGAAGACGATATTAATCCTAAACTAGACCAACCTCAAAAGTTTAACCAAGCTGAACTAAATGACTTAGTGAGAGCCTATCGAAGGATGCTGCACAAATCTTAGGATCACGACTAAAAGATAAAAATCTATTGACTCCAGATACCACATTGTTGTGGTATAGGTGATCATATATAAGAGAACTCACTGGTGTATTGTCATAATATTCCTGAAGTAGTCATGAAACTGGGAGATGACAATTACGAGTCCACATCATGACGGTTATTTATTGATTTTTCTAAGAAGGGTATCTTGTTACACAATAGTAATACTTATGCCTCAGTGCCAGTTGCTTACTCCGTGCATCTCAAAGAAACATATGAGAATATTGAGCTGTTGCTAAATAAAATAAAGGTATAGCGACTATTGTTGGAAATATGGGAAGATCTGAAAATAATATCCATGCTTTTGGGCCAGCAGTCTGAATTCACAAAGTATCCATGTTTTTTATGCGAGTGGGACAGTCGAGCACAAAATTTACATTACGTTAAGAAAGAGTTTCCACTCAGAGACTTGTACCAGGACAAAAAAATATGCAACGTGATACATTAGTTAAATCATAGTTAGTTAACAAAAAAAAGTATGGGAAGAAAACTTTTCCATGACCTTAGAACAATATAAGAGCCCACCATTGAAGAAAATTCAGGTCCCGAAATTATACCAGAAGAAATAACGGCAGCCTTCAGACAAATGAAGGATGGAAAGACATCGGGATTTGATGAAATTCCTGCAGAACTGCTGAAGCTATTAGATGCAGAACAAATAAAAATAATAACTGAAATATTTAATGAAATATACAAAGTAGGAAAAATACCAGTAGAGTGGCTCAAATCGGAGTTCGTACCATTGCCCAAAAAACCAGGAGCAAAAGTTTGTGAAGATTATAGGACAATAAGCCTAATGAGCCATCTGCTGAAGCTGTTTTTAAAAGTCATCGACAAAAGAGTTTACCAGAAATGCAAGGAACAAATTGCGTTCCATCAGTTTGAATTTGTGAACGCCGTTGGTACGAGGGAAGCTTTATTTAGCGTGCAGATATTGTTTCAGAAATGTAGAGATGTCAGCTGTAATGTTTTTGCATGCCTGATTGACTACAAGAAGGCTTTCGATAGAGTCAGGCATGAACAAATAATGGAAGTGCTGAAGAGGACAGGGATTGATGGAAGAGACTTAAAAATTATAGCTAATCTGTATTGGAATCAATCAGCAGTACTCCGAATAGATGGAGAATATACAGATCAGGTGAAAATCTTAAGAGGAATGAGACAGGGATGCATAATTTCACCACTGATATTCAATCTGTACTCGGACCACATTTTTGAAGAGAGCCTAAAAGATATTGATGAAGGCATCTCACTAAATGGAGTCAAGCTCAATAACCTGCGGTATGCAGATGATACAATAGTGTTTTCCAATACCATAGAAGGGCTTTAAAACTTAATGAACAGAATAACGGAAACAAGTAGAACATATGGACTGGATATAAACACCAGCAAAACAAGCTAATGATCATCAGCAAGGAAAACATTACTGGAGCAAATCTGTATGTGAACCAAATGAGAATTGAACGTATCTCACAATACAATTACTTGGGAACTATAATCAATGAGTCGTGGGACAATACCCAAGAGATTCAATGTCGCATCAGAAAGGATAAAAGTGCATTCATGACTATTCTGTGTTCCAGAGCCATGACCTCACCCTGAAAACAAAAATAAGGCTCCTTAAATATTACCTGTACTCAGTGTTTCGGTATGGAGTAGAAACGTGGACATTGAAGGTGTAAACTCTATCAAAACTTCAGACTTTTGTGCTATGGTTATACAGAAGCATCCTGAAGATACCATGAATAGACAAAGTCACCAATGAAGAAGTACTGCGGAGGATGAACACAACCGCGGATTTAGTCAACATCGTGAAGATACGTAAGCTGGAGTACTTGGGACATGTAATGAGAAATCAAGGCAGATATGAGCTACTCCAATACATTTTGCAGGGTAAAATTGAAGAAAAAGAGCCCCAGGACGAAGAAGAATATCCTGGCTTGCTAACCGGAGAGCATGGTATAGAAAGACCTTAACACAGCTATTTCATATAGCAACCAACAAAATCATCATAGCCAGAATGATCGCCAACGTTCGGAACGGACAGGCACCCTAAGAAGAATACATTAGTTTTTTCCAAAATTATTTCTTTTGCCTCCTCTTCACAAAAAATTAGGATTGACAAAACAGTTTGTCAAAGCTTTAGATAAACAAGGTGACTGCTTTAAATATCTGTGCGAGAAATTTTCTAAAGCGTTCTGAAGCGAAACTTAAAAAAGGAATTTTTGTAGGCCCTTAAATTCGAATCTTAAAATTGGACAGATTGTTCCAGAATGCAACGACCCAACATGGTCGAAAATTATAAAAAAATGGATACAGTATGAGCGTAAAACTCATTTTCTGGATTCTCTTGACTATTTTCCCGAAAATCTTGAAGCTGTTAGCGAGGAGTAGGAGAGAAGTTCCGTCAAAATATAAAGGAAATGGAGAGACATTACCAAAGAAAATATAAGAATGATGGTTGATTACTGCTGGGTATTGAAGAGAGACTCGATCACAAAAATTCATAAAAAGAAGACCACAAAACAGAGTTTTCATGGAAAAAGAGAACGGTTTTATTGAAAAAACTTAATATTGTCTAACGTAGATTGTGCTGAATTAGTTTGTTAGGAACAACTCAATTTTGAAGTGTAGTGTTGTATTAAATAAAGATTTAATAAATATTACTTCAGTATTTTTTGGCAGTTTCTATGAAAAATTTTAAACAGTTTTCTTGAAAACCTGAAGTGCTGGAAAAAACTAAGTACAGATTCGTGATCAGCACATCTTATTTACTATAGGACACCTATTAAACTTAAGACACTTTTTCATAAAAAAAAATTAGCCTGTATAATAGAACAAGTGATGGATTAAATATCTAGGCATCACACGAACTAGCTACGAAAAGCTCGAACAGAATTGGAAAATCAAATGAGTATAGGAAACAGATCCGCAGGTTGCCTGAATGAAACAATATGGAGAAATAAAAATATAAAGAAAGAAATGAAAGGCACAATTTACAAAATAGTCATCAGACCGACCAATAATGACATGCCCGACAGAAAGACGACCTGACAACAGAGAGGACAAGAATGATGTTAGAAACAGCATACGATGTAATTGCAAGGTGGAGAACATCAAGGACTGACTAGGAAATTGACGAATAGAATAGAACGATCATATAAGCAGAATGAAAACAAATAGAGTAGTAAA